TTATCTTGACGTCGTTCGCCTCTGAAATGGCTTTTCCGTTAAATATTGATGATTGATTTACGTTTAGTTTTACTTCAAGGCTTCTGTAGGAGATTCCAGTTAGCCAGCACTATATATGATGGAGAAGATTTATAGCTTAGTTGGATCGTTGAGCTGCGAAGCTTCCGCCATTGTCTTCCTAGACAACATCTTTAGTGGATACAGTAATTCGAAGAAGTATGAACAGTGTTAGAATTCAATGAAATGTGATTTTTATCTATATAAGACTCTATAAGGTCTTTCATTGTCTTTATTTCACTGTGTTGAAAAAGTTGTGTTGAATAACTGTTAATGAAATAGTGAAAAGTATTATTCATTTGACTTTCATAAGGGACTGAATTCAGGGTACTTCTGTCTCAACAAAAGTATGGACTATGTGACACTGCCTACAGAGGACCGTATAGTTTAAAACAAATGAAAACTGGTTGATGCTTAAGAATTAGTTTTTTTAAAAAAACAGAGAGTATAACACAAGTAATCAAGTATGGATTAACTTTATCGATCTGTAATTTGTGAAACGGTGTCGTTTTAATAAAGCATGTCAAATTGGAATCATTCATTTAAGGTAGACCTTCTAGTGGAATCCCAATGGGAAGCGACGAATGGGTCGTCAATACGAGGGTGTGACATGGAGGAGATCGTGTGTTGGGGAGGAGGAGATAAGAGATTGTGGGTAATCTTGGACCCAGATGAAGGAGAGAGAGAGAGAGAGCAGAAAATAGAACAAAGTGGAGATGTGTTGTAAGAGTCCTATGTTCCACTCGGAACCCAAGGAAGTAATAATAATAATAATGTAAAAGCTTTAAATATACTTCCTAGGCTACACACTATCGTGACACTAGTGGTCTAGCAGGAAGTGCTTTTCGAGTCTGTGGTTCAGTGGTAAAATTTTCATCAGTCACTCACATGGGCCCAACTGATAATGCACCCACCAAAAACCTCACGTAGTCAGCAGGCCTAGGAAAGAAGGAAGGTTGGTGACTTAAATTCCATTCAGAAGGCAAGGAATGAAGAACAAATGGACTGCATACTATCAATGTGTACGCAACACATTCGTCAATCGAAACTGGATATATATTTGGAATCTGTCATATTCTGTTTGTCGAGAAAGTTGTACACTTAGTAGGGGTAAGGTTTGTGAACACGATTAAACTGTCGTCAGCACATTTGCACACTATGTTTTGACCTATCATGATGTTATTAACCGTCAGCTGGTAGACACATTAACTTATTCCGCAGTAATCTGTGACATGTACACCAGTATTTTTGGTGTTCCATATTTTAGTAACTGTCTTGTACATTATAATATAATGAAGAAGCTTAACGATATTTTAAACAGTTTGCGTATTATAGTGTTCATGCATAGAAGTGATTACTTTACAAGATAAATTTCCAATAGATTTATTGATTTTTGTGTATGCACTCTATTAGTGTCCTTACACCTTGGTGTATTTTATTCCTCTTGAAAGAGTTATTGATTAGGCTGGTTCTCAGTATTTGTATGCTCAAAACGATGGTTTGGAGATCCCTGCTGAACGATTCCATTGTCAATGGTACATTATTTCTATGTTTAAACTAGTCGTGTAGAATCTTGATCCCTCCTAAACTTGCAGCCAACAGGTAACGGCTTCGAGTCCCGTCCCACCTGCTTCTTCAACCTGGATAACTACGTGCTAAGTATCATCGATCATCTCAAACACACATTACTTGTGTTGCTTACAGCCTTCTGTTACATAAAATTCAAACAAACAGAGTTTTTAGGAGATATTTTATTGTCGGTCAGGTAAGAAACTAAATGAAGTGACTAGTTGGCTACTAATCACATCAACCGACACTAGTAGTGCTTGCTAGCCAGCCGTTCAAGATCGAGCTAATCAGCAGTGTACCTGATTCACTTTGCGAATTGAGAATCCTATTCAACCTCTTGACAGTTCGCTCAAGTAACTGGCCAGAAGAAGAAATTAGGTGGTGGTTTCAACTGATTCGGCTCTTTGAGCTAAGTTGAACTGGGCAACACTGCTGGTGAGTTTGATCCCAAACTAGTGAGATGGCAGGTGCCACAAGTTGATGTGAGTAGAGTCCAACTATTCATCTCAGTCAGTCAGTTAGCAGCATATAGCGTCGTACATCTATGCTTGGTTTCTTGATTGACCTGAATAGTTTTCGAACTTCCAAAGGAATTTGTGCTGTGAAATTTTCGCCTGGAAATGTGTGTAATTTGTAGAAAATAATTTACGAATTGTAAGTCTGATCGTTGAAAAAAAAAACAATGTATCGAACATATTTCAGTGGGAAAAATGTGATTCTTATTCTATACTTTTGTATCTTAAGCATATAACTTAAATAGATCAATAGTAACAGAGAGGATTTGTAGCTCAGGTGGATGATTTGCAATTAATAGTGTTCTCTGAGCTGGTTGGTTTAGTCGCAGAGCTTTCGTCATCCTTCTGGACAAAGAATGGTTATCCGAAAACAATTTCATCAAAAAGTGTTTAAAGTCGAATGAGAACACCAACATGGAACCATCATCAAAAACCACAAGAGAATTCATCCTACCATACATGAAAAATATCTCTGAAATAACAGCTAGAATATTAAGACCGTTTGATATAGATATAGCACACAAGCTAGTCAAATCGTTTGATTCGATATTATGCAAACCGAAAGACACACCCAACACAAAAAGGAGATAAAATTAATACCATTTACAAATAAATAGCATGTATGAACTGTAACGGGCATTACATCGGTCAACAAAGTGGGCGTCCCCTTCGAACTGGAATCCAAGAACACAAATCAGCCGTGAAAAACACGATATATATTCTTTCATATCAATGCATATAGACAATTACGGACATCAATTTGATAACTGGGATAATGTCGAAATTTTAGACAGAGGAAACACCACCAAAATTGCAGTCAGGGAATTCCTAGAAGCCTGGTACTCACTCAAACGAATATGTGATTAACAAACACGTTAATGTAGACGAAATATACCAACTAAAATAAAAAGTAAATCAGGTGACCAGAAAGTTTAAAATCCAAGTCAATAAAAAAATGATCAATACATTTGTAAAGATGGTTACCGGGAGACGCAATTATATCGCCACTCATGAAGAAATTTAAATCATTTCACTTTATGCTAAAAACGGCCTTGAAGGGGGATGTTGTCTAGAGGGGGGGATGACGAAAGCTCCGCAACTAAACCAACCAGCCTTAGAGAACACTATTAATTGCAGATCGGTGGTAACGTCTTTGACTACAGCAGATATACCTTGCTGACTGACTGACTGACTGACTGGTGAATGCAAGCAAGGACAAAACCCAGGTCCAAGTAGGGTTTCCTTCCGATTCCCTCCAACCATCTAATATCAATATATTACTTATTATTATTATTAAGCTGGTAATTTCATCAGTATTCCGGTATGAAGTACGTTATTCATTGTTACACTTTATTCTCATTCGGGTGGCATGGGACGCTGAGTATGCTTCACATTTGCATTGTAGACAATACGAACATCATGCATAAAAGAGAAGTTTTTAATAGGCTATTTGGATGTATGTATGCTTGACAGTTTTGCCATGGTAACGCCAATATGGCGTAGGTGTTGATTTTCTTCTTTTATCTCTGTCTACATGGCTACTCATCATCACCATCATCATGACTATTATTCATTTATGTTAATTGTCATTCAGATGTAGGTAACTTTTTTTCTGGATGTTTGTGTTGACTGCTTTTTTGCATTACGCTTCCATGTAAAGTGATTTATGAGGTTTAATGTCATATACTATACATAAACCCTTCTACTCAGTATCTTAGTTGAAATGCATCAGTGTTTCAATACATGTGGCTAAAGTCGGCGCACTCCTGACTGACGCTTGCCTAGTCAATTGTAAGTCGAGGGAAAAAAATTGAAAAAATTGGGCGTGTGAAGCCTTATATGTTGTTCCATCCGCCACTTGAAACGCCAAGGAATCCGACATGACGTTTCTTCTCCAACCACTTTCTGATTATTATGCACTACGCACAAATTTCTCACTATCTAGCTAGAATCAATTAAATAGCAAAAGTGATTCATCCAAACTTCTTGTTTTATTGATGTTGGTTTTTGTTTGTTTTGCTTTTATGTTTATTTTTTTAGGTCAGTTATCGATCCACGTGATGGTCAAAAAGTGGCACTCAAACGGATACCACGTGTTTTTCATAATCCAATTACTGCTAAACGTGTCCATCGAGAGTTGAAAATGCTTTCGTGTCTTAAACATGAAAATGTAAGTTCTCTCTTTCTTCTTTTTTTGGGGGGTATGTGTGTGTGTGTGCGTGTAAAATTTTGTGATAAACATTTGTTTTTTGGGATCACTATTTGACTGCTCAAATGTATGCCTGTCGTTAGTAGCAAAACAATACTCTACTTGAATTTGGATTTCAAGAGAGACACTTAGCTTGCGATATCCTCAAAGAGAAGTGCTTCAGCACCTTTGAAAACAGCAATCTTCGGAACAACGCTAAGAATAGTGTTCTCTTCAGTAGAGTTCTCCATTGATCTGCAGAATCCTTAAGGACAAGATCTCACATCTGACCACTACACTTGTTGTTTGTGGAATCAGGTATATTAGCCGTTCGATGATGCATATCCTTGCCCAAAAGAGGATTCAAGAACACTATCCCACAGCATGGCTACAGGAAGGTAATAATTATGGCTACATATATAAGGAGTGCGATAATCGAACATCTCGTCAACACTGGTCACTTCATCTCAACAAACACCTCCTTTAGAGTGATCTACTAAGCGAAGAACAGACTACCAAAGGCAATACACGCTTTCGTCTCCTTTGCACATTGCTGAAGCCGTAGCTATTCAGTTAGAAGAACTAGAGTTATGTGTACAAAAAAAGAATCATCCAACGTCTTCTACTGTCATGGCAACGACCATGTTGACTTCTACTGACTCGTTGTTTGCGAGCTTGTGTTTTTTATTTTTCTAACTCTATAACGTTTGTAATTTTTTATAACTTACATAATTCCATATTTTTCTTTGTTTCTATGTGCATCCTGATCACAACTCATTCATTAAAACTATTCATCTTATTACGTAACTGTATCACGCTTATTCAACTTCTTTTATGTGTTAATAAGTATGTTTTCTTTTGTCAAAACGCACATCACAATTTAATTATTCATCACGTTTCCGAAATGTCTTGACAACAGTAACCCTAACTTATTCTTATCGGGAAACCTAACGTACTCACACACACACACACACACACACACACAAAATAAGTATATATAATTACGATTGGACAGCTAGCTAAATGAATGAATTCGCCGACGAAAAAAGACTACTCTGAACTACGTGTTTTGTTTTCATTAATATCTGGATTGGGATTATTCACGAAGTACAATAGGTGTAATTCAGTGATACCTTTTAAGATGCTAAGAACCAGAGGCTGGAGACAGTTGGAAGTGTATGTGGCTCAAAATCATTCTCATTTTGGAGTAGATTCATTCCCCCTCCCCCTGTGATCTTCTATCTCCGTTAAACTCTGTGGTTTTTCCATGTTATTAATCTTCCTTCCTCTCATATTTCCACTGATTATCGTTCTTTTGAATCTCTTTACTCATCTTCAAGTATTGGGGTTTTGTAAAGATTTTGTTTGATTGATTGATTGGAGGATTTCATCATGATGAACTGACATCAGTTAGAGAATCATTGGAAAACCGACTAGAAGGAGCTGTCTCCTCCGTCCTAGTTCGACGCTGAATCGCATTCTTCTCTTTTTGGTTTCAGTTGCATGTTCTTGTCGATAAAACGTGTCGGCTAACCATTTTGAGCCAGGATATTTTTGAGGAATACGAGCTCCTCTTCCAAGAAATCACTGCTGCAGATTTTTCTAGTGCGACAGGGTTAGTGAGATGATGAGAGGTCGTTTTCGGCTCAAAGGTATCCAACTATAGAAATGCGTTAGTTGGCCGTTTCGGGTTGGTTTTCTGTGAATGGATCTCTCTTCAAGGTTCCATCATCTCTTCTTGTTAATTCCACATCCAGAAATGGAATCTTTGAATCGTTTTCTCATTCCATTGTCAATGTAATCAAAGGATGGGAATTATTAAATTCCTGTAAGATACAGTTGAAGTCGGAATTATCGTAGCAGACGACTATAAAGGCATCATCGACGTGCCTTAAACGGATATTATCCCTGAACGTCGAATCTCTATTTACCAACGTGCCACTAACAGAAATAATCTGTTTCCTGTGCAGCTATATGGAGAACTTGAATATATATATATATATATATATATATATATATATATATATATATATATATATATATATATACGTATCAGAATACCAACATCATTTCTGAAAGAATTGTTGCTGAGATGCACGCTGAATGAAAAATTTGCCTTCAACGGTGACATCTACAGATAGAAAGATGGAATTGCAATGGGATCTCCTCTTGGCCAGCTTTTAAAAGACTGCTTTATGGTCAGTTTGATAAGCGGCGTTTTAAAATCAACAATAAATAAATTATTACTGTACAAAAGGTACGTCGACGATACTTTTATAGTCGTCTGCTACGATAATTCCGACTTCAACTGTATCTTACAGGAATTTAATAATTCCCATCCTTTGATTACATTGACAATGGAATGAGAAAACGATTCAAAGATTCCATTTCTGGATGTGGAATTAACAAGAAGAGATGATGGAACCTTGAAGAGAGATCCATTCACAGAAAACCAACCCGAAACGGCCAACTAACGCATTTCTATAGTTGGATACCTTTGAGCCGAAAACGACCTCTCATCATCTCACTAACCCTGTCGCACTAGAAAAATCTGCAGCAGTGATTTCTTGGAAGAGGAGCTCGTATTCCTCAAAAATATCCTGGCTCAAAATGGTTAGCCGACACGTTTTATCGACACGAACATGAAACCTAAACCAAAAGGGGAAGAATGCGATTCATTGCCGAAGAAAACACTGTATAAAAAATTTGAATATCAGGGGAGATTTGGCAGCTGATATTCTTAAGAGGAGAATATTCAGCTCTCTAAAGAAGACCTTCTCTGCATCAGCACTAAGAGTGACATTCTCTTGCCGCCGAATACTTCGAAACAACACTAAGGACAAACTTTCGCATATGACCAATTCAATGTGCATATACCAATTCACCTGATCTTGTGGAGCTAGGTGCATAGGTCGTTGTATGCACGTCCTTTCAAAACATGTTAGTGAACATTACTCATCATGGCTTCAAAAAGGAGGCACCGGTTCAATCAGAAGTGCCATTGTTGAACATCTGATCAACACCTCCCACAACATCTCAACTGATTCATTCAAAGTAATTTACAAAATCAACTAAAACCTACAAAAAGCAGTGTGTTTCCGGCTTCTCTGCACTGCAGAAGCCCTCGCAATATGCATCAAGAAGCCGGAGCTGTGTGTTCAAAAGAAATTAGTTCAACCTTTACAACTGCCATGGACCTAGTTCGGTGTGCTCCCTCAGCCTCTGTTATTTTTTGATTTTTTTCTCTGTGTGTGTGTGTGTTGGGGGGGGAGGGGGTTCCGCTCTTTGTCTTCATTTAATTCATCCCATTTTTTCAGTTATAAGTACAGCTATTTTTAAGTTTGTTCCCATGCTTTTCCTGCTCATATTTATAATTCGTTTAAAATAACTATTATGTTCTAATCCTGTGTAATTTTTTGTTTCTAAGGCTCTTGTAATCTAGACTCACACCTCCTAACTTTCATTTCAAGTTGAAATGCCACACTAAAATGTGAATACATCCGATAAAATAAAGGAAGTAATACAGAATTTATGGATTTTTAAGTTCGACAGCAGACCGGGGTAGTAATGATTGCAGGACCTGTTAGATTTTGCATGCAATAGCCTCTACTTTTTGGAGTCTTCGGCATCTAGAGCCCTTCAGTAGCTTATTCAATATCCGAAAGATGATAGAGTATGAGTCTTCAGTGGGATGATGGCTATATGGTCTGTTCGAACAAGGTGATCTAACACAGAACTATTGATGGTTTTAACCGCACATTTATATAGCCAAATTGGTAGGTGTTCCTTAGCGATCCTAAAACAACGGTCAATATAACCGTCTCCATAGGATCAATTGAATTGACAAGTATAGTTAGAGGTAGCCAGTTGCCTAGTTGCTTCATCCTTTCAGTGAAGGAATCACAACCAGTTGTTTTGGGAAATATAAGCTGCAACTTACTGGCAATATATGTTGCTTGAATCAATCTTTCCAACTTGTTGGTCTTGACTTGAATCAGTATTCTTTATTGATTAATCACTGTTTTGAATCTGTAAATGTTAAGCCCTGCCTACTTGTTCTAACTATGGTTTGCTTGTAGACCATGACACTTCTCTTACACAAATCAATCTTTACATACTGCTTCATACGGTTCTTTATGTTAGAAATACTCAAGACAATGCTGTTTCCAGGAGTCTATTTATTATTTATTTTAATTTGGTGGATGGTGACTAGCAGTGTGGAATCCAGGACAAAACACATTCCCTCCTATTTGAGACTCGTCAGCCAGTGGATGTACCTGCATTTCTCAGTGAGTGATGATGTTCCTACCACCGAGGCTCGAACCCAGTGCCCATAGTTTCAAGCGGCAAAGCGTTATCCACTAGACCACTTGGACCACTTCTCTCTAATCAATCGATGGCTTAAAAATGCTCCACTTACAGCTAACAGCTTCTGAGTTCGAGTCCCGTTCCACCTAATTTCGTCTGAGCAACTGAGTAATAAGTATTAACTGATTAAAAATTCCCATTAAAATTTTCAAAAGAATGGGTACTGAACAAAGTGTACTCATTTCGATAACTTCATCATCAGGCTCTACAGTTATATATACATTATAGTGAATGAATGAATTAGTGTAATGGACAACATTAATGTTGATGTTTAAATAACATCGAATCAATAATATTGATAGATTACAGTTCAGTTGCACCGACATAAAAATGAGCTGAATGTCAGAGAAATTAAGAAAGATAATATTTCAAATTCATGAATTTATAGTCTCTACTTAAGGCTGACCAGGGCAGTAGTAGTGGCTGGCTGGACTTGCTTCTTTGGCGCACAGAGCACTGGTTGTTTGAGGGGAATTGCAATAGCCTCTGCTGTTTTGAGCACGTGGTGCTTCCATATTTTTGACACATTATTTGGCACCTGGTTGATGATAGAGAAGGATTCTTCAATGCTGGCTGACTGGCTGGCTTTGTGGCCGGCCGGTCGGTTTGGACCAGATGGTCTAATATCGAACTGTTGATGATGGTTTTCACTACACCTTTCCTTAGCCATACTGAGAGATGTTCTCAAAGCGAGCATGAAAAATCAAGTTCCTAGAGCAACGGCGCAGTCACAGTTGAATTGGTAGATAGAATTTGAAGTGGCCAGCTAGTCTATGTACTTCATATTTCAATTGAGGTAGCACCATCGGTCGTGTAGAGAGAGAGTAAGACGTGTAGTTCGCCAGCATTAAAAGTTCTTTGAACTAATTTTCTTAATTTCCTCGTAATTAGCTCTCACAGACTAAGTGTTACTGGTTATCCTGTTACCATGACACATCGATTTCAGGTAATTGAGGAGTTGGGATAAAACAAATAAACAACAGAGTTCGAAGTGTTTTAAAGTTATATTCCACTTGTATTTTTGCTTTTTTTGAAAGAGTCATTTCAGTGAGTTATTATTCTAATAACAATGTGTTATTGCTGTTTGTTTTTTGTTTTTTCATTTATAACAGATTGTTAATTTAATCGACGTTGTCAAGTCAGAAAGTTACCTTAATTTCGAAGAAATGTATCCTTTAATGTTATAGCACGGTTAATGATCAAGAAGAGTGTTTGTATGAATACCTGTACAAAGGGATGTGTTATGCGGCTTCCTGGGCTTTTTTTTATTGAGAGTGTTAATACGCTTGCAGTCGACTACTATCGGGAAGCCAATGTACAATAGGTGGTACAGACTGAATTCTATCAGTCACCATCAAGCTGTGTGACACGCCATCATGGTGTGTATACTCAGAATTGTTGATATTGGAGAGGAGATTGGGAGGAAGTCCTGCTTCGACCTAGGCTTTGTGCTCATCAGTTAGTCAGTGAGCAAGGCGTATCTGCAACAACCTTGAAGAAACTCATTTGTCCCTCGTCCTAGATTCGAAGAACCCGCGTCACCTAGTGTACTGTGGTCAATGACATTAACATTAAGCTATTCGAGCTGGCAAATGATCTCTTGTATTGTCTAATCTAGCATGAAATCCAGATCCAACTCTGCCTATCGGTTGCTTCCAACCGTCTTATCTATAAATGTTCGTCAGTAAAGTAGTATGCATTTAACTCAGCACAGACTAATATCCCCCTTTGTGATATTATGACTCGTCGTATTTCATACTTTTATGCACCCTTAACGCCGTACTAGTGGTAGAATAAAGCCCTCCTTGACGTTTAGAGTGAAACATAAGGCTTCAAAGTTTTTTCGAAGTTTTAACCGTGTTGGTGCCGTCTTTAGCCTGTCACTAGGCGAAATTTTAGGATTGCGTGGGCAGAAGATCAAACTCTCAACCGCATTTATTTATTTATTTAAACGCATAAAAACTTGGTACAATATGGCACCAAGAAGGATGCGCCACACGATAATAATAAAACAACACAGATTAAAAGTGAAAAAATATAAGCAGAGAACGGATACAGAACTTCATCTGGAAGGAAAACAGTCATGCTTAACAAGTTCAAACAGTATTCGTTAACTATCATCGGGAAGGCAAGAAAGAAGGAAATTGCAACACGTGTAATAGCATGCGATAAGTTTTATTGATTGTTTGTTGCTTTATTCAATTCATTGTGTGAGGGCTGAGATACTGCCCGGGCGCCCAGACCGAAGCAGGTGGTATTCTTAAGGGACCACCCCACCCCCGAGCCTTTGACTTGGAGTTTAATCCGAAAGGCAGCGGAGCAGCGTCAGGAGTTGCATTCCCATGGTTGACGGTGACCCATATGGGTTCATACGCCATTTGATCCGATTGGATACTGGAGCCCATGTACCCCATGGGAACTACTTCTAGTTTAACCGCTATCCAAACAACTTTCCTGATATGGTAGGACCTGCAGGGACAGAACCCCAGTCAGTTTAGCCTGTTGTGTCACTGCGGTATTCAAGCCCGACCACCACGACAAGGTAGCAGTTATCGGCCGGGTCAACCGCATACACCTACCTGGTTCTCGTGTATTCTGCCTATCGAACCGCACCATCATCCTTAGGTCCAAAGTGTAAAGTGTGTGTTAACAGTGAGGTTTGGCCTTCTTTGTCCTGCCTTTCTCTTTTTGCTTTTAATATATTCGTTTTAGCTGCATAAATTTATTATTATTATTATTATTAATTATTGTATTGGTTGGTTGAATTTGCTTGCCCACATGCCATTGTTGTTATTGTTTTTCTCTTCACACTTATGACTCATTCATGTCCTGGCAAACTTCGTTTTTCGCTTTTTTCTCTTTTTTTTTCCTCATGTTAATCACATGTCTTCACTAGACTAGATGCATAGTATGACCCTAAGGTCATGTAGAATAAGTTCATTTGTTGTATATGATAGTTGTCTCTCTCTCTCTCTTTCACACACACACACACAGCTCCCTCTCCCGCCCTACCTGCTTCCTCCTAAAATAGGTGTGTATGTGTGTGTGTTCAGAAGAATCATCACCATAATAATAATAACAAGACGTAGAAGAATAAAGGTCTGGTGAACATCATGCTTTGTTCACAGTTTCTCTACATTACTATTGGTTACTACTTATTTAGTCAGTTAGTTAGTTAGTTAGCTAGTTTCTTTTGGTGTTTGTCTAAAGTTTTGTGGATATACACTTAAGAGGAGTTGAAAATTTTAAAAAAAGTTAGTTTGATATCAGTTAGTGAACCATTGAAAACCAGAGAGCAACTGTAAATCTGTTTCATCCTAGTTTGGGACTCATTAGCAGTAGGCCATCCACCAATACCTTCCGGTTACAAGGCGACCTCATGGATCATTCAACCAGTGGGACTCAATTCAATGGCCCATGAACTCTAACTCCTACCAGTTCGTGATTTTATCTCTACTAATACCATTGGTGGTGAGTATTCATCCTCACTGCCGACCAGATGGATCCTACTGGGGGTGTGTACTCTCGATGAGTTACAAACTAGGACGAAACAGTTGTCCAGTACTCCTTGGTGGCATCTAATGGGGTTCTCTAACTGATATCAGTCTGTGATCAGACTTGAAACAAAATTAATCTGATGCTCTCTACAAGACGAAGTTGTCTGGTATTCTGGTTATTGCGCTAAGGTCATGGATTCGAGCCCCTCCAGGTCCATGGGTGCATACCGATGAAGAGTCCCAAGGGCAAATCAACTCTGTTGTTTAGTAGTCCTTTAACTGATATTGTAACAACAGAAGACAAGGGCCAGGCAACAGATCGTTTATTAAGGAAATCAACACATATTTATAGATTTTCATGTACATTATTATAGATTATTGTTAGCAGAAAACCACAGTCTTCTGACTGGTGGTTTCTCGCTGAATGTTAATCTTTCATCTCCTTTGTGGCTGTTTCTTGAATATCAGATCATCTATATGCTAACTGTATCCACCTACGCAAGTTTGCTGTGGTTGGTTGTTGAATCAGTCTTTGTTCTTATTTTTCTCACGATCAATTTTAGGGACGTAAACACTGACGTAAATTACTGGCTAGCAGTCAGCTCTCACCACAATGTCAATTTATTATCCAACTTGAATATAACTTTCACGGTTCTGATCACTGATCCATATCAGTTCGAGAACCAGTGAAAACTAGGGAGTACTAAACAACTAGCTGTTTCTTCTTACTTCGGGTCTCATCATCAGTAGGCACCGCCGAGTTTTGAATCCACAATCTCCTGGTTACAAGTCAAGCGTGTAGACCATTCAGTCACTGAGACCTGATTAAATGGTCAGCCTATGAATTCTAACTTCTACCAATTAATGAATTTAGCGCGAACACTAGTCAGTGTCATAGGCTTTAAGTAAATCCTCGTCTAGTTTACGAGTTCTTTAATTTATTAACCAGTCATAATTCCAGATGAAGAGGAAATATTGCCGTGTAAGGCTAGTGATCCCTACCCCGCCCTGAAAAGTCAATCCTATCGCTACAGAAACTTCAACGCACAGCAGATACCCTAGTCGATTTATCATCCCTGTCTACATCTTAGCTAAAAAAAAACATAACTTCTTGTGTGACCTCATGTCTGACGAAATCTCTAACCTCCCATTCTTTATCTCTTGTCTGATTAAAAATACTGTACTGTGTGTACTGCTCATCAGTCCGCTCTGTCCTCCTTTATTTTTGGCTGTGAGACCTGGCCATTGAGAGTGGAAGACATGAAAAGCCTGGCTAGTTGTCTTTGATCATAGGTGCCTGCGCTCTATCTCCTGTGTGAAGTGGTATAATAAGGTGAGCAATATTGAGGTTAGGCCTCGGTCGAGTGCTAGGTAAGGATGAGCAATCAATCGATGAGGCTGTGAAATTACATCGACTGAGCGAGGTGGTTAGGACATGTGCTACGTATGCCTAGTCATCGCCATCCTCGACGGTCAATGTTAGCTGATATAGAGTCAGGCTGGAAAAGAGCTAGCTAGCTGCGGTCAAACCAAAACATGGCCTCACAAGTCAATGAAATCTACAACAGTTAGTTTAAGCCACGTGTAGACTTCCCGGTTGAGGGCCTCGGGAGGATGAAAACCAGTGGTTGGAAACTATTGGTGACATAGCTGAAAATCGTTCTCAATGATTGGCACACATGCATCCACTCCTTGTGACTTATGATTTCCAATGAAACTATATTGTTCTTCGATATTACTATTCCTTTGTCTCACACCTCTCTGTTTACTGTCCCTGTTATGCATTTCTTCTACTTTCTTCTGTTGGTTTGTGTGCTACAAGGAGTGGAGTGTGGCGACTCCAAGTGCTGCACATCAGTGCAAAGTTCTATATCGAAAACAGACAGGTAGATTAAAAATAGCTGTCAACCACAGGATTCTACTTTCTTCTTATCATCCTGTCTGTCTGTCTGTCTGTATTCAACATAGAACTTGGCACCGAAGTGCAGCAGTTCGAGTTGCCACGTTCCAAATAGCACACAAAGGTAGACAAGAAGATGAGTGAAGAGAATCAATAGAGTTTGACAAGTATAAGAGTTTAAATTGAGAAATATCAACTGGCCTTTAGTCTAATGTTTGTGTAATATATATATATATATATATATATATATATATATATATATATATATCAAACACTATTAAACCTTAACCCCATCAATCATTCATATGATTCCAGTTACTTTCTATTCGAATTAATGCAAACCGATCTGCATAAAATCATTGTCTCACCACAACCGCTATCATTGGATCATGTAAAGATATTTGTATATCAAATTCTACGAGGTGAGTGAAATTAAGTTTTACATGCTCCATAACTTTATTTTTTAATAAAACACACGCACGACAGTATAATCTCGTCATTAGATAAAGGTGCCAAATACGTCCGCTGCACGTTCCTCGACTTCACTTTTGCTTTTGACTCTGTACCTAGATGTCTCTTGCTAAATAAGCTCTCTATGACACAAACTGAGTCCTGGGTCACTAACTGGTTGCATTCCTACTTTTCAAACAGAATGCAGTATACTGTATAGAAAAGCTAAATCCTCCTCTGCTGTGCTCACTGAAGCTGGTGTCCCCTCAAGGTGCTGTACTTTCCCCACTTCTCTTTTCTTTCTTTCTTTCTACATGACTTACCATCTTCAAATGACATTAATTTTGTTAAATATGCTGATGACCTAACTGTATCTTTGCCTGTCAAATGTCAAAGTGACTGCTCTAAACTAAATGGCTTTTCATCAGAAATCAGCCATTGGTCCAAGGAAAACGGTTTAACCTTATATCCCTCCAAATGTCAAACAGTCAATTCCACCTTTAGGGATAAATCTGACCTAAACAAACTGGTAGTTAGCACTCACGAGGTGTGCAACATAGATGGCACTGAAATAGAAACCAAGTTGGAAATTAAATACACCTAGGCGTCATTCTATCTGCTGATCTTTCCTGGTCGTCTCATATCTTGATGATGATTTCTAAGAAAATATTCCGTCTTACCTTCTACATCAAGAAGTTAAGACATTCTCTATTAAAACATTCTTCTTCTTTCTTTTACCCTCTGTATATCTCGACCTTGTTTGTTACCGCTTACGCCAGTAAATATGCTAGTATCTACTTTCCTAACACCTTCAAACACTCTATTCAATTTTGGCTTTGCTACCGAAATGCCAAATGTGTTGCTGTCATAATGAACTGAAATTTCCTTAATCTATGTAGAATTTTATTTTTACTGATAATGTACTAACTGGATGCAATACTGTATGTGGTGAAATGCTGAGAATTCCATTCTGTATCACAAGTACTGTTTTGGAATAAAGCAAATTATTATAAGCCAATTGTATAAAATGACTGTAACAAAGAGTGGTGGTTTCATTTTATCACCTCATGGTGTCCTCAGTGGTATAATGCTTCATGGATTAAAAACGTGTTCACCAGCTGGGGAGATGTTTATTTATATTGATTGAAACACAACCATGAAAAACATTATGTGCATTAAGATATGCAGCCCGTAAAATTTCGTAGTTTATGCGAGGTTTTTGGACATTTCTCGGATGCCTAGACCTAAATATAGGTAGTAGTTGTCTTAAGCAGTCACCCCACCCTGGAGCCTTTCACCTAAAGTCTGACCCCCAAGGCAGTGGTACAGCTTCAGGAACTGAGTTTCTATAGTCCCCAGTGATCTAAATAGATCCATATGACACTTGATCTGCAGCCATAGTTCTAGAATCAGGTTTTTCATTCTCCCCGTGTGGATGTAAGCATCAGACGTTCTCAGATGTGTGACTCGTTGGTTTGAGAACTCAACTTACAGTTATTGAGTTCGTGGCTCGAATACCTCTTCATTTATTTCAATCTAGGCAGTTGAGTAGTATCATAAACCTCCCCCCCCCACACATCCGCACACACACACACAACAAGTGTGGACCATAACTTGGTCCAGTACCTGAGTAGTAATAACACGTTTTGAAAAAAAGATAACTAGCCTAATCAGTATACAGTCAGAAAACCTTATACGAGTGTACTTCATATCAAGACATCGAAATGGCGTTCAATAAAATAGAGAAAGAGGAAAGTACAGCTGGTCTCAAAAAGTTATCATGAAATGAAATGAGATATAGTAGATCTGTATGCTGTTATTGAACGGTTTTGTACCAGTCCGGTCGCAAAACCTATTTTCCAGCCATTGCCTTTATACAAACCTAGTTTTTGTAGTTTGTGTCGCCAATTGTTTGCTGTATGTATTAGGTCGTGAGAGAGGCCTTTTCAGAATATATATATTTATATATATTTGTTTTGTTTGAATGTAATCAATCTGCTACTTTATTTTTAATTTTTTTCTTCACCACTGAATTTAGGTTTGAAATATCTTCATTCCGCTCGAATTATTCATCGTGATATTAAACCTGGCAATATGTTAGTCAATTCCAATTGTCTTCTTAAAGTAAGCCAGTTATTGTTGAATAAATATTTTTTTAAATATTCTGTCACAATATATATTATGGTTCAGGCCTAGAATGCTCACCAGTCACAAACAAACACGCGCGCTTCGGCTTCGATTTCCGGCTGACTGACTTACTAACTCACTCACTCACTCATTAACCTCATTTAGAGTTCACTGACCGACAGTTAGTCTAGAAGAGAGAGAAGATTGGGAGTGAGACTTGAAGCCCTTTGTAGAATTATAAATATTATTATTATTATTACTATATCCTTTAATTCCTAGAGGAACATAGGGCTTCAACCACGCGTCTCCATTGCCTTCGGTCTTCTGCCAACTTTTTCACTCTGCTCCAAGTCTGCCCTCATGGTTTCATTTCCTCTTCACATGACCTCCTCCAAGTCATTCTCGCACTGACGACCAACTTGCCGCTTCCCTTTCGGGTACCACTCGAGTGATGGCTTGTCTAGTGATGTCACTTGACGGTTTGTTTTCTTAGAGTATAGCCAATCCATCTCTATTTCTTCCTGCCTATTTGTTGCACAATCGGTTCCTGGTTGGTTCGCTCATTGCCAGAGATCCTTCGCTGTTGCTGATCTTTTCCGGCCGGCCATCTGATCTTGAGTATTGAACGGAGACAACTGTTAATGAAGGTCTGTAGTTTGTTTGAGATGCTCTTTATGACGCGCCACGTCTCTGATCCGTATAGTAGCACTGACTTCACAGTGGAGTTGAAGATCCGGATCTTATTTTTGATCCTGAGTGCTGTTGGCCTCCATACGGACTTAAGAGTAATGAAAGTTTGTCTTGCTTTTCCGATTCTTGCTTTGATATCCTCGTGAGTTCCGTCCGCCTGTAGTTGAAATTATGCTTCCCAGATAAGCAGGTGGTGGAGGTTGTTTCTTTCCGGTTCCTCCCATTTATGCTGGCTGATTGTTGTCTGTTGTTGTTGCTGTTAATGTTGGCCAGGAATCTTCATCACCTCTGTTTTATCTATGTTCACTTGAAGTCCTATCTTTGATGCTTGTTCTGCCAGCTTGTTGCTTTTCACTTGCATATCTACCAGTTTGTGGGAAATCAGACATATGTCATCGGCGAAGTTCAGATCCTCCAAGTTTTTTGTGTGAGTCCATTTTATGCCTGTTCCCTCGTTGGTTGCCGTTGTCTGTCGCATTATCCAATCTACTGCAATCAGGAAAATCATTGGCGATAGTAGACAGCCTTGCCTCATTCCCGTCCTCACTTCGAAGGCTTACGTAATATAGAGGAATGAAAACAAAGACATTAGCAACGTCAAGGTCATTCACTTTTAAATTAGCCAATCAGAGGTGTTGACTGTTTGTGTATGTGTGTTAAATACATGATTATCTGTCGAAGTTAACAACAGCGTTTTGTCTTACTAATATCTTCAAAATCATAACTTTCATTAATTGCTGTGAATTGCAAATGCAAATAACAAATGGTAGGGTGAATAACTTCACACTTAACCTTCCCTTTTTCTCTGTGACCTTAAGACCGACTAGTAAAGTGATCTGCATACCTTCATCAACAGCTAATCGCAAAGACAATTGTAGCGAAGAAAATTTTCTTTTCGACGAAATCATCAACCAGGTAGCTGTACATTCGTGTATTTATATCAAATGGATGGGAAAGTGCCTGGAATAATTTCCGGTTAAGGGTCAAATTAATAATAAAAATTACAATTAGGAATGAATTAGAATGGCATAATAAACAGGGCGGTGGGACGGATAAAACTCAAACAAAGTAGCATCATGATAGCTAAGAAGATTGACATTGTGCAATTAGGGGTTAGAAATGTAGAAATAACAAAATAGACTGGATGTTTGGATAAAAAAACTAATGTGATGAGCAATTGTTTATGCAATCAGGGATTGAATATGTAGAAATAGTAAAATGACAAAATAAACACGAAGTTCTGGTATGAAAATATGGTAGTGTAAACAGAGATTAAGAAAAACTTGAAAAACAACAACATGAATAAACAGGAAGTTTAGATTAGAAAGGCGATTGGATGGTCATTACTAAAAATAAATTTACCTGTTTATGATGGCCATGCTAGGGACAGGCGTTGGACATGGCTACAAAGCTTGGGTTTGAGCTTTTGGGTAGCTAGCGCCAGCTAATCCCGTCGCTCCATGATATGAAAATCAAATGGCCGATCAACCAGAACTCTGGCAACGGACCAACCAACCAACCAACCAAGAAGTTATTGCTCGACTAATATACAGGAACAAATGGAGATGGGAGACCAGTGAAAGACATCACGTACACGAGGCAGGCTCTCGGGTGGGACCCGAATGGGAAACAACGAGTTGAATGTGAGTCTGACGTAGAGGAGAACGTTTGAAGAGGAAATGAAAGGTGATGGGCAATCATGGAGCCCGCTAATGATGACCACCAAGAACAAGATGGAATGGTGATATACTGCTAAAGCTCTGTGTTCCACTTGGAACCCAGTGGAGTCATAATAGCAATAATAATGGTCTCTGGATTACAAGTTCCGAAATCGTAGTGTTCGATCTCTAATTCTGTGTTTTATATAAATCCACATCATTATTGATTGTTTCACGTTACATTTCTTCATGCCAAGATTGAAATTTTGTTGTTGTTGTTGTTGTTGATGTTTTTTTCAATGTTTCAATAGAATAGAATTATGATTAGTGTATCACCGTGTTTATTGTTTTTATTTACTTTAACACGTTTATGTGTCTCAGTTTCAAACAAAATAAAGAGCATAATATTTTCTTATCAAGTTGTGATTAATAGTCGGATAAGTTTTTGTTTACTAATTCCTTAATGCTTATTGTTTCTGTTTGTTTGTTTGTTTGTTCGCATAACTTTTCTCTGCACGTTACCATGACTACACAATGTAACCATTGTACGTAGTGAAATTGTAATGCTTACTAATTATTAATACCGTTGTACGCTTTAAACATTTCTTTTAATTGTCTTCTTGATAGATATAAAACACGCAGTGATACGGACAAAAATCTTATCAAAGTCCCCTCACGTAAACACTTCGGAAATTTTTGTTTATCTAGTTCATTTCAATATGGATTCCATCACTAAGAGACTATGGCGCAGTGGACGAAATCCAGATTGAAATAAGTCGAAATCTTTTCAAAAAAACCCTCAGAATCTAAATATCAATCTCCAATTCATTGATGACTAATGGTTGGATGTCCTGAAGTCATACTGAAAAGCCCTGGCCAGTGGGTAACGATGTATCACGAAATGACAAAAGTTTAAGCTGATGAGTCACTAAATTCTGGTGCAAGTTGATCTCATATTCTGAAGGTCTCTGGGTTCGATCTTTTCTGGCAGAGTCGTGGGTGTATTCGCCTTACTATGTAACACTTTTAAAAGTATAACACCACGACCCAACCTTATTTGCAATTGTTAATTTTTTTCTCTCTACGTTTGTCATCTTTCATTTAATTTTTTTTCAAATTTTGCCGCCATTTTTAAACAATAAACCGTAACGTTTCCTTCATAATTAAAAAAAACTTTTTTGCTCTCCTTTCAAATAGATATGTGATTTTGGTTTGGCACGTATTGATGATCCATTTGGAGAGGCACATTTAACTCAAGAAGTTGTTACACAATATTATCGATCACCTGAATTACTTATGGAAGCAACACGTTATTCATATGCTGTAGATATTTGGAGTGTTGGATGTACATTTGCTGAACTGTTAGGTCGTCGGATCTTATTTCCTGTAAGTCCTTTAAACCTTTCAATATTTTTTATACATATATTTTGTTTTAATTTATTTCAAATAATATTCAAGTGTTGGTTTGTAGGGATTTGATTGGTTTACAAGATTTCATCATGGGCTGGCATTAGTTAGATAACCATTGGAAAACCAACTGGGAGTACTGGACAGCTGTTTCGTCAGCCTAGTTTGGGACTCTTCATCAATACGAACCCAGCAGGGTTCTAGTGAGAAGTCGTGACCATTTGGGTGCAGCTGGCCGGGTGTGAGGACAAATACTCGCCGAAGACATTGGCTAGAGGGTCGCGCTATGTCGTGAATAGGCAGAAGTTAGAATTCATGGATTGGCTGGCCATTGGATTGGGTCCCAGTGTCTTAATGGTATACGAGCTCGCTAGCCTTGTAACCAGAAGGTCCTGGTTACAAGCAAGAACAACAGTGGTTTTTGCAGAATAAAATGGTACCATCATCGCTTATTTCGTCGCCTTCTCGTCAGCTGCTTACAGGCCAAAGACATTCATTATTAAATATATCTACAAAAACAATTTTAACATACTTGCACACAGAGTTCATTTTAAACAAAAATCAATCGATCAATATATATATATATATGCAATATTAAACACTATTCAAGACAATAATAATCATACACAATGGAAACTTTTCAGCATTTCCCATTCAGATGAAAGAGAGATGAAAATATCCAGTTACCAGGCAAGGCAATGAATGACTGATAACCGCTTCTTTTTCGGGACGCACAAATCAGGTTTCAGGCGCTTGATGGAAACGGCTTCAGCAAACTTGAGGAGAATTGAGCTCTTTTGCCTGTAAGCAGCTGACGAGAAGGCGACGAAACTTTAGTTCTTACTTTGGTCAAATATTTACATGATTGGACAAGTTATGAGCTGTTATTGATCGACCAATGAATTATTACGTCAATGATTTAAGTTTGACACTTGTGTTGTAGTGTCAATGACACTGAAACAACAATAATTACAGCTTGTTTAAACAATTCTATGCATATAAAAGTGTTATTATATCACTGTCATGATGGCAGTTATTAGGAAACAATTTTGAAATGCAAAAATGACTATTAAACGTCACAGGTTGACGACGTGACCGATTTCCAACTACTTATGTCAAACAATCAATGGGTCAGTGGTATGTCACATCACGCCATTATGCTCGCTTTATTCATGATCATTTAAAGTACCAAAGCAGACAGTATATTATTCCATTACAGGTCAACTATATAGGTCAAACTAGTAGATCGGGGGTAATCAGATTGTCGGAACATAAGAATTTAGCTAAGGTTAGAATGGTTGACCCAGAGAAGATAAGTAATTTAGAAAAAAGCTCAGCACTATATTGCACTGCATGCATTAACACAGAATCACACAATAGGATGGGAAAGGGTTAAAATTCTAAGAAGTAATCTATGTAGGTGGAGAGAGAGAGAGAGTGGTTGGTTACTGAATCCTACCTGGTATATTGAGTCTACACCAAACACATGCAACAGAAATGACTGAATGCAAATACCAGAAATATGGAAGATGTTATTACCACCAGTCAGTCAAATCAGAGGAGGATAATAAATAATCTAAAAGTTCTGTTTCAATTCAAGCACATCACAACATTCTAACAAGTTACTTATTTATTTTGGCTATAAAAACATTCGTCTTATTTCCCATCTGATTGTAATTACTATTTCTGAATGTACATTATCTCATATTGACTTTTATTCAAATATCTAGTGAATTGCACTCATGTATATATATAGGGTTCCTACTAATTGTTAGCACCTCCACTAACTTTAGGATACGCCTCAAACACATTTTGTAGATAGGTTTAAAAGAGGTATAAATATCATTTTGACTCGGTCTTCTTGTATAATATGTTTCGTAATAGAAGAGCTTGGTCGTTTGTTTTTAACATTAATGGGTTTGAGGGGATTCGATTCGCTACTGAAACCATCTAGGGTGATATGACCGGAGGCGCTTCTACTTGCAAGGGTCGATGAGTTCTCCCAATGTATGTATGACGATAGGTGGGTTGTGACATCGTTTTATGTATGTTCTAAGGGTTTAGATGGTTGGATGTGTACACTCCACATTCCCATACATTAACCGGATCTTAGTTGGATAAAAGATGTGTTTTTTTAACCGCAGCGTCCAACCTTTATGCAGTTACCAAGCTGCTGTGACTACCCATTTAGGGTAGCTTGATATATGTATATGTCCTTTTTAGCGGAGAGTTTGAGAATAGATCTTGGTGTTCCACTGATCAATTGCTATCTCCTTATGTACTTCTCTGAATAATTATAACCGACCAGAGTTTCTGTTAGTTTTCTTATGTGTGCATATTCGTCCTATCCCACTAAAGAGGCACCTCACTAAGAACTAGACAAAAACCGTGGAATTTAGGACACTGTCTTGTCCAGGTTGGTTATTTTTTACCTTTACCGTATCCCTTTAACTTGGTCTACGTATATCTTTTCCCGCCTTATGATATATATATATATACAATTATTTCTTTTAGTTCCTAGAGGAACATACGGCTTCAGCCGAACACGTCTCCATTGCCGTCGGTTGTCCGCCAACGTGTTCACGTGGCTACACGTTTGACCCCACATCCTCTGGTCTCCTTTTCACATCAACGCCTCATTGTCACCCCACCCTCACACTCACGACCAACTAACTCGCCACTTCCCATTCGGTCGGGTTCCACTCGAGCGATGTATGGCCTTTCCTGTGATGTCACTCACTTGGTGGTTTTTGTCTGTTCTAAGGGCTTAGATGGATGCATATATGTGCACTTCACATTCTCATACATTATTTATTTATTTTTGATTACAGCTTGATTCCACACTGTATTTTTGGTACAAGTATGGAATTTTCAGCATGGATATCGGTAGCCCAAATTTTTCAGGCCGACCATAGATATCAGGTGTTCGTCGGCAGGGGATCGAACCTTGGTCCATGTGCATGGTCGGCGAGAGTCCTAACTACTGTGCCACCGACGCTTAAAAAGTCATTTTAACCGCAGAGTCCAGTGTTTGTCTAGTTATCATGTCTCTGTGACCACCCATTTAGAGTAACTTGATATATATATATATATATATATATATATATATATATATATATATGTCCTTTTTAGGGGGGAGTTTGAGATTGGGTCTTGATGTTCCACTGACCACTTTATATCTCCCTCCAGAGTTTCGGTTAGTTATCTTTTCTGATCTTCAAGTTTTATCCTCTATGCATATTGATTGAATCCTATTGAAGAGAGGCATCTCACTAAGGTTCTTTTTTTATTAAACACGACAGAAGCTACAGCAATTAATATGCTGTCGTCTCCAGATAAGTTTTCCATAAATAGTTCATTGTATTGATTCTGTTAACGAAGGAATTTGTCTAGAAAAGGTAAACAATTATTTTCTTTTCTTCAACTGACATAGATAAGATGGTATAAATGCATGATTAAGTCATATTATTGCATATCATTGATCAATCGGGTGTTCATATTGAATAATATAGGTCAACTTTTTAACAAGTTCTTCTCTTGCTTTTTTGTTCTGTTGACACAAACAGCACTATTTTGTCAGAGTGCGTCTAAATAAATAAACAAATGACTGCTCTTTGGCACTTATTATTGATTACAAGCTTATCTGTTTTCTCTTCTGTTCATGGGTGTATTTTATTTATTTAAACGCAGAAAAAAACTTAGTACAATATGGCACCAAGAAAGATGCGCCACAGTAAATTTTATTTGTTGTGTGAGGGCTGAGATACTGCCCGAGCGCCCAGACCGAAGCAGGTGGTATTCTTAAAGGATCACACCCCACCCCGAGCCTTTGACTTGGAGTTTAATCCACAAGGCAGCAGAGCAGCGTCAGGAGCTGCATTCCCATGGTTGACGGTGACCCATATGGGTTCATACACCATTTGATCCGATTGGATTCTGGAGCCCATGTACCCCATGGTAACTGCCTTTAGTCTAACCGCTATTCCAACAACCTTCCTGATTTGGTAGGAAGGGACAGGGACATGAGTCCCAGCAAGTTTAGCCTGGTGGGTCACTGCGGTATTCAAGCCCGACCACCACGGCAAGGTAGCAGTTGTCGACAGGGTATTCTATCTAATACAAGATATTTCAGAGTAGTCATCGCCGCTAAATTTAAGTGGTGTGGATAGTTTGTGAACAGTCAACTTACAGTGTTGTAATATATATTGTGTAATATGATAATAAATCATAAATTCAGTTTGATATTAGCCAAAAATCGGTAGATAGTTATTTACGTCAATGTGTACATCCTCAATATTTGGTCATGTGTTGTTGATTTTCTGAATAAACGATCCCGTGGCCTGGCTCTTGTCTTCTGTTGTTACGTTTGGTGTCGCTGCCTACCGAAAAAAATGGAAAGCCTATGCATGCCCTGCAGTTTTTGATGGAGACATATAGATCTTCGGGCACGAAGGAGTTCGAGGTTTCTGTGCAGCTGACTGGCGTTCAAGATCTTTCAAGATCAGCGATATGAGGCTGTTACTTGGGACGCTGCTGGTAGGTGTCGGGAGGAAGCAGTATATGAAAGTGTAAGGCGAAATACCGACGAATGTGCGACAGGGTCAGGCAAACAGTTTCCAAAGTGGAAAGGACCACATGTGGTATGCTCACTTTGAGATGATGGGGTTACGCAGGCGCAATCGCAATGGTAAACAAAGAGAAATAGGTGAACATCAATCAGCGAGATTCCAGACAGCAAGACAAACGAACAAAGCCCCTGGGACCAAGAAGACCGAACTAACTTCAGTTGGAAGTCTTTAACGGGTGGGGGGCTGGGCGAGTGTGGTAAAAGTTGGGTGTTAGCCAAAATTAGTAGATAGATAGTTATTTACGTCAATGTGTACGTTCCCAATATTTGGTCATGTGTTGTTGATTTCGTAAATAAACGATCCCGTTGCCTGGCCCTTGTCTTCTGCTGTTTGCAGTATTAGTACTTGTTGTAGTTCGATATTGTCTATGTCGTTATTAGCAGTATTGGATCTCAGCGTATTCTACTACTACTGATCATAACGACGACTGATCCTGTTGCTTTTTTAGTGATCCAAGTCCAAGTATGCCTGATGTCGTTTCTCAGTGTTATAATCCTCCGAATAATCATGATTTCCCTTCAAGGGTGATTGTGTTCTCTTACCTGAGAATAGCTTAATTATGATGCTTTCATTGGCCTTCAACTGATGGCACCTTCAAAGCTTACTTTCAATTGTAATTTGACACTAGTAGCTAGTGTGATATGTCTAGTCTTCTCATTGGTGCAGACTGAATTCTATCAATCAGTCAAGTTTTCAATGGGGCCACCATGCCACTAAGTAGCTTGCCATCATGGTGCACATTGATTTGATGTTATCTGATGGTTCAAAGCAATTGGCTACAGGAAGCCTTGCTTGGACCTATGTTTCATGCTAGTTGGCACTCACTAGTCAATCAATCAGCAAGGCGTATCCGCAACAACCTTGAAGGAACTTATGTCTACAGGGAGATCAATCGCGAGCTGCCCGAATAGCTGCTCAGTGGTAACATCTCTGACTGTAGGCGGCACTGGGCGAAGCGGGTTCGAATCTCAGATGAGGGACATGAGTTCCTTCAAGTTGGTTGTTGCAGATACGCCTTGCTGACTGAGTGGTGAGTTCCAACTAGCTTCCTGTCGCCGATTGCTTCCAACCATCTAATATCATCTTACTTTCAATGTATAACACAAGTTTGAATATATATAAATCAATGTGCGTCGGTGGCGCAGCGGTTAGGACGCTAGCCGACCACGCACATGGTCAGAGGTTCTATCTCCGGCCACGGACGCACTCCTTTACCTCGCTAAGCCTGTAATAAGACTGGTAAAGAGGAAAAGGTTGGGCATGAGGCTAGCAACCCTATCCTGTAAGATTAAACACTGCTATAGAAACTTCAAGCTTCTAGCTTGAAGCCCTATGTTCCACTGGGAACGTGAAGGGAAATTTTAAAAAATGTCGTCAATAGCAGTATTGGATCTCAGTTTATTTTACTACTGATGATGATGACGACGACTGATCCTGTCTCTTTTTTAGTGATCCAAGTCCATGTATGCTTGATGGCGTTTCTCAGTGTGTGTTTTTTTTCTATTCCTTCACGTTCCCAGTGGAACATAGGACTTCAAGCTAAATAGCTTGAAGTTTCTGTAGTAGTGGTGTTTAATTTTACAAGATGGGGTTCCTAGCCTCATGCCCAACCTTTTCCTCTTTGCCAGCTTTTATTTCTGGCTTAGCGAGGTAAAGGAGTGTGTCAGTGGCCGGGGATCGAACCCCGGACCATATATACGCATGGTCATGGTTTCTCTGACAAGGACTTAATTATGACGCTTTCATTGGCCTTCAACTGCTGGCATCTTCAAAGCTTACTTTCAATGTATAACACAAGTTTAAATGTATAAATCAACGTGGTTGCCCAGTTAACAGATTTTCCTTTTACATATATGTCATTGTCATTAGTTATCACTGTTGTTATTATTATTATGATGATGATGATGATAATGACTATGATTGCTCCCTTTCCAATATTTTTCTTTTATGTCCAGAAAGATGTAAACACTTTTTCCATATTTTTCTTCTTTTACTCTTATTGATCTGGTTTCTTCTCTCTACTGAGTCACCACTTCTTGTTTTTATTGTTGTCGTTTTTGTAGTTCTGGTTTCGTTTCTCTTATTTTTTGTGTACGTGTGTGTGTGTGTGTGTGTGTGTCAAATATCTGGCATATTGGGTTTTTGAATGGATTTTCTCTCTCCGTGTCTCTCTCTCTCTCTCTCTCTCTCTGTGGATTATTTGCCTCCTCTTTCACTATCTTCTGCTCTTCTATGTACTAATTTCTATGCTATTCAACTTATAGAAGGCTATTTTATTTGTTTATTTATTTATTGATTAGATTATTAAAACAAAAACCCTGGTACATTTTGGACACATTGTAGGGGTACATTATGCTGCACAAAATTTCTTAGTTTGTGCGCTGGGGGTTGGTTTGGGATAATGCCCAGATGCCTAGATCGAAGCAGATAGTTATCTTATGTGGGATCACTGCTCTAACCCTTTGACTTGTGTGTGCGTGTGTGTGTGTGTGTGTAGACGTGAAATCCAGCCGGCTGTTGGTCAGTTTGCTACATTCGCCTATGTATATAGCCATGAGACAAGGCCGTTGAAAGCCGGAGATATGAGATACCTGGCTAGCTATTTGTAAAATTTCAGCGAGATTGAAATGAGCAATTCCAACCTTTTCTTTCGGCAATCTGGTCCGAACTTCTTCAGGGAAATTAATATCGAAATTAACATAACAGCTCATACAATTTTGTTTATTATGCACATTGATGCCTGTTTCATGACTCATATAATTGGACAAAGTTTTTAAAAAGCAAGACATGTTCCTTTTATGCATAAACCTCTGTTATTATGTTAATTTCGATTAGTTTCCCTGAAGAAGTTTGGACCAGATTGCTGAATGAAACGTTGGAATTGCTCATTTAAATCTCGCTGAAATTTTATAAATATAATTTTTTTTTTACAAATGTCTATTTCTCACTCTGCGCCCAAATATTTTAGAACTATTCTGTCTAATCTTGACGACAGTTCATTTGAATACCTGGCTAGCTGTTTTTGATCATAAGTGTATGTGTTTTATTTTCCGTGTTAAGTGACATAATATGGTGAGTAATATTGAGGTTGGGTGTTGAGTGTTAGTTAGTGAGGAAGGAAAGTTCAATTGATGAGGTCATGTAGCTTCATCAATTGAGAAAAAGGCTATGACATGTGTTACACACGCCTAGCCAGCCATTCATCGCCTTCCTCGATGGTCAATGCTAACTGCTCCTCGGTTTGTATTGAAAGAGAGTTAGTTTGAATCAGTCACGTATGGAGGTGTAGACTGTTGTCTGGTTGGGGGGGGGGGTCCTCTGGATTCTAAGAACCGGTGGGTTGAGGCTGTTAGTGATATTATGGTGGTGTGATACAGACAATGTGTTCCAACGGAATACTATTCCCATAGTTCAATACTGCATTAGCAACAGAATACTATATGTGTGTTTGAACATTCTAGTTCATGTCGTTTAATGTAAACCGAAATCATACAGTCAATGGTTGATTAAAGCATATATTAAACTGTATATATATAAATAGCAGTTTGACCAATCGAAAATATCTCGTGGCTTCCGTGTCTTGCCTTCTGCTGTTATAATATGGCTCCAAATCGTTCTTGAAAATAGCACAAGAGACAGTGGAGCAGCGTTCCCATAGTTTCCGGTGTCTCAAACTTATTCATATCCCATTTTATCGGTTCAGATTCTTGAGCCTGATGTACGCTATAGATTTGGAATCAGGGTTTACTATCTCTCCTTAAGCACACCTTGCATCTGCACCAGTTCATTTGTAAGCTCCAGTAGTTTGCATTCAACCCTTCATTTTTTGTAAGGAACACAATCTAACTACGTGACTGCAATGAATAGGACTTACCTGTCGGCGGCTCTGATGGCGTGTGAGGACACTGAGAGCATTTCTAGAGGAAGACCAAAATATTTCCTCCTGTTGTCTGTACCATGTCGTTTTTCTTTGGGGGGGGGGCGTGGTGGCTTGTCGATGATACATAACTATCGGGTTGTGTCTGAGTATGTGGTAACGCCTCTGGCTAGGTGACATGGGGACATCAGTTCCACCAAGATATCAGATACATCTTGCCGATGATTGTCAATAAACAAAGAAACTTAGATCGAAAGGCTTCCTGATCATTGCCTTCCATTCTCTAACAGTGTAGTGAATATTGTCTGGAGTGGTTTAAGTGGTTCTCCTTTGTTTCTTTCTTTCTAAAACTGCGCTGACCCTAGTCCCCAGATTCATCTCCCCATCGATCATTAATCGTTAAAACATCCATTTCTATTCGTTTATTAACACCTATATCGCTGTAACTGGATCATAGATCATGTTATCAGAATTATTTGCTTGATTGTGGCCAGCATTGGAATCCATAATGCGTGTTCTACACTATTTTGAACCCGTCATCTGGATGCACTTGCATCTCTAGGAAGTGATTGCGTTCCCACTGAAATTCATATCCAACACCTGTCGTTTTAAACGCTAAAGCGTCATCCGCTAGACTACTTGGGGCATGAGAGCCATTTATTTTGCAAAACGGTATCGACTATCATTTATGTTAATCCTTAGACATCGTAGATTAGTCCATACTGGGACTTGATATATCAAAAGAGACCGAATATTTCGGTATGATTCATCAACTGGAAGGTGGAAACTGACTTCATAACCAATGAAGATGTCTTCTTCCCACCCTCAGTTAGTTTGCTCTCTCTTTTAACTTCCAGTTTACTAATTCCTTTTCCCCCTTTGATTTCATTTTTGTTGTTGTCTATTTCCAGGCTCGTAGTCCATTGGAACAACTGGAGTTAATTATGAATCTTACAGGTAGTCCTAGTCCTGGTGATTTAGAAAGTTGTCATCCAGACGCTTGTTGTTTTGTTCTTTCATCAAGACTACGTGATCCAAATTTGTCTATTCTATATGCGCTTACACCTGATGTCAATGAGCTGACTGTTCATCTGTTGGGCAGTATGCTCAAATTCAATCCGGTAAGTTCTTTTTTTACTTTTTTTTGGTTTTTTGAGAATACTGTTTTCAGGATAAAATCATCAATTATTCTTTTCATCATTTCTTGGGTTTCAAAAGAAACATAAGGCTTCGAGGTTTTTGAATTACTAGCAGCTGTGATACATATTGTTTCTACGGGATTGGGTTGTTAACCTAACGACCAACCTTTCGTCTTTTCCGGCCTTTTACCATGTAACATGTAACCTAGGCGATTTTATAAGTACATTGGTGGGAAATCGAAGCCAGACCACATATGTTGTTGGTGGGCGGAATCCTACCGTCGAACCAGTGACAAACAATCTTCTCAGTGACAATAGTAACACATATCATCAAGTCAACAAGGGCACAAAAGACTCTGTAAGCTTCCGAGAAACTATGCAACCTTATATAAGCTCAAAGAGAGTTGTTAGTGATGCCCGTCAGGAATGCCTACTGTCCCCATTTCTGTTTAATTTCATCATAGGTGGCATACTAATGCAGTTGACCCTAAGTTCAGCGACTTAGGTAGGGATTGATTTTGTTAACAGGGAAACGTCTTGGTAAATTAGAATATGGGGGTGATGTTGTAGTCCCCCCTAAGCAAAGACATTGATAAAATAAAGAGTCTTCTGAATACTATGAGTAGCAGCCTTCGGATTTTCGGCTTTTGATTTGCTTCTGCCAAATGCTTAATGATAAGAAGTGAAGTGGCTGGTGGGGCGCGTTGACCACTTCACTTATTTGGGGAGTTGCATCAGCCAATGCTAACGGGCTGATCGTTGACGAAATCTCAGCACGGATGCATAAGTCTCGTATGGCACTTATCAGCCAGCTGACGCCATCTCTGGCGTAGACATGATATCTAGCTGGCTGTCGACCAAAGGGCGTGTGTACTGCTCAACAGTAGTTCGCTCCGTCCTCCTTTATAGCTGTGAGCGAGACATGTGGACACTGAAAGTCTAAGATATGAGAAGATTAGTTGTCTCTGGTCATGCGTGAGTGTGTTGTATCTCCCATGTTAGACATTATAATAAATTGAGTAATATCGAGTTTAGGCGTCGAGTGCTAGGTAGGTAGGAGGGTAATCAATCAACGAGGTTGTGAAGTTTACGTCGACTGATTGAGATGGTTAGGACATGTGTTACGTATGCGCCTAGCCATCCATCACATTCCTCGAGGGGTAATGTTAGCTTACATAAGGTCAGGTTGGAAACAAGCCGAAATATGGGGCTTCATCAGTCAATGAAATCCATAACAGTTGGTGATATACCTCAAAATCCTTACCAATGGCTGGTGCAGATGAATTCATTCTCTGTGATCTGATTCACTATTCTATCTTCCTCAAATTATTGAATCTCCGATTATTTTTCCTCTTTTGCCTTCCTTTGTGTGTTACACGGAGTGTGGCAACTCGAACTGTTGTATGTACACTTCTGTGAAAAGCTCTATGTTGAGACCCGCCAGCCAGCCAGTCAGTTAGTTAGTTAGTTAGTCGGTCATTATTTATCATGAAGTTAGCGAATGAATTAAAAAGTTTGCTGTGAGTATACCACCTTCTGGAGCCCAACATTCACCACTAGCCATATCTCAAAAATACCTTAGAGTTTGATTACTTTAATGTGAGAAAACCATCAGTTCTAGTTATTGGCATTCGATGTCTTGAATGTCTAGAAAGATGACAGCATCTTGTACAGCTAGCTAGCTTATTTATTATAAAGGATGATACAAATTTTAGAGAGAAAGAATCATGCCGCCTTCTTTAGATGTCATTGTTTTCATCGTATAACTCTGTTTACTATTCTAATAGTTTATTATTATTATTTTTTTCTCCATCATTTTTCCGTTAAATAACTCAGACAGAGAGAGAGGCAAATGAGACATACTAGCCGGTATTTTTATTATTTTTTCCAAAATTCTCCTTAAACCAGGACAAATTTTTCAAAAATATACATTGTATGCCTCCCATCACAAATAAACGGGATTTAGGACGCAAGTTGTCGTAGTAGTGTGATGATGCATAGACAGACAATTGACGATAGCACACGGATATGAATACCGGTTTACTACGTTTATTGCTTCTATCGATCCAGCCTTGCCGAGTGAATGACGCATTTGTAGACAGACATAGGTGATAGATAGACATACTAACTACACATGCCTGTCTAGCTTTCAATCTATTTTTGACCTTATTATCCCGAATCTAAAATCGGATTGGTTGAAAAGAGTGAACACAGAGTGAACAATAATACGCATACACGCAAACACACATAGATACACACGCACACATATTTCAAGATGGTTGGTGATGTTGATGATGATGGTGGTGGTTAAATGTCATGAGCCTAGTCTGAATTTCTCTACAAATGATGCTGATGTTGATGATGATGATGATGCAGTTGTGTCCAAATTTCAGTTTAATCTAAACTGATGTATGTATTTAAAAAAAGCGGTAATTGTAATGCGAATAGATTAAGCTGTAGGATAAGATTATCCTCTCGTTTTCTTTCTATTATATTCTAGTGTTAATTCTTCTTCTATTTCATGAACCAGACGTAAATATTTGCTGAATGACGACTGTGCTTTATCTACAATGGCCTGTATTATAAGTATTTCGGAGAATTAAAAAAAATATTGAACTGAGGTACAGGTGCATAAGTGCTTTTAAAACCGTCAAACATTGAGATTACTTAGGTAACAGTGCATCATCAAATGACACCATTTAAGGAATGTGAGAGTGTTGGACTGCTGTTCTGTGTTCTAGTTTGGGACTGTTCAGCAGGATGCATCCATTGACGACTGTTCAACCATCAGCTAGGAATGTAAACACTCATGAATTCTAACCACTGCAAATTCACAACTATGGCCAGTTTACTACGCCGTCTCTGGCGTAGTCGTGATATCCGGCTATCAACCAAACGGCGTGTATACTGCTCAGCAGCAGTCTCCTCTCCATCCTCCTCTATGGCTGTGAGTGGGACATGGTCAGTGAGAGTGGAAGACATGAAAAGCCTGGTTAGCTGTCTTTAATCATAGGTGCCTGCGTTCTATCTCCCGTGTGAAATGGTATAATAGGGCGGGCAATATTGAGGTGAGGCATCGGTCGAGTGTTAGGTAGTGAGGTGAAATCAATCGCCAAGGTTGTGAAGTTACATCGACTGAGTAAGATGGTGAGGATATGTGTTACGTATTCGCCTAGCCATCCATCGCCTCCCTAAACAACTGGCATTGTTAACTGACATAGGATGGATCAGGCTAAAAAAGACCTAGCACATGGTGGTCAGACCAAAATATGGCTTCGTCAGTCAATGAAATCCACAACAGTTAGTTTAAGCCACATAGTTCCTCCAATGAAAGCTGGAGACAGTTGTTGATATGGCTCAAAATTGTTCTCAGTGGCTGGCGCAGATGCATCCACTCCTTGTAACTTATAATAACAAATAAAACTCAATTGTTCTTCAATATTATTATTCTTTTTACCTCATATCTCCGTTTATTGTCTCTATTTTGAATTTCTTCTTTTGCTTTGTGTGCTACATGAAGGGAGTGTGGTGGTAACTCGAACGGCTGCTTATCTGTGTTGTGCAAAGTTCTATGTTGAAACCAGTCAGGCAGTCAGTTACTCTTTTATGACAAATTGGAATAATAATAATGAACCTATTCAATATTTTTTGCACATTTGGGGTCTTAGAGTTCAATTAACTTCTGTTAGTAATAATAACATCTTTAATTCTGGACAAAATGACTACACAGTGCATCGAATTCTTGGTTTAATTTACTACCTCATATTTTTTTCTAATTCGTGACTGACCTTCAAGTGAAGTAATAGATCACAGTACATCATGTGACACAGTAGTATTCACTCTTCAACATAACCTTACGGTAATTTTCTTTTGTTCGTCTCCTATAAATGCACAATGATAGGTTGAAAGGTCATATGAAAATGTGTGTGTGTGTGAGAGAGAGAGAGAGAGAGTACATATTTCAACACAAAGCCATAGTAGAATGATTAGAATAATAAGAAAAAGGGAAAATTTGATGCACTTTATTAGATGAAAATTCAGTTAGACCAGTGTTTCAGTCAGGTCACTATGTTTCAACTGTCAAGTGGTATCATAGGCTCTCTCTGTGTCTCTGTCTCTAACCTTCCGACACCTTGAAATAATTTGAAGGACATACTCTCGAATATGATCATTTTTGATTTGTGTATATTTCTATCAGTGCTGGTGGATGGGCGACGGATGAGATTTCCAATCGTATCATGAAGGCTAGGTTGGCATACATCAATTTGTGCCACCTCTGGTGCCGTCACGACGTTAGCCTGGTTTTCAAAAGCCGGATATACAATACTTCGGTGCGGGCGGGCTGTCTTGCTCTACGCCTGTGAAACCTGGCTTCTCCGAGCAGGTTGAGGATGTGCGGTGACTCTGCGTGTTCGATCATCGCTGTCTCCGCAGGATTGCTTGTATACGATGGGATTATCGCGTGAGTAATTCTGAGGTTCGGCGGCGTGTGTTTGAACACAGTGGAGATCACCATTCATTGAGTGTCGTCGTCTCTAAACACCGGCTCTGGTTGCTGCGAATGTCACCCCAGGGGCTTCTGCACAGGTCTCTATTCGCTAGCCCTGAGACGGTATGGAAAAGTCGGAGGGGTGGTCAGTCCAGGAAGTGGCGTCGTGGGATGAAGGACTTTTGTGCTAGATTAGCATCGCTGCTACTGCCCATACGACAAACAGGAGACGGCAAAGAAAACTATAAAATTCAAATCTCAAAGTCGTCTGACCACAATTGATATGATTATGAACAATAAATTGTGTTCGAAACGTCATCCAGTATACAATACTGTTTCACTGTGTGATACATCTAATAAACAAACTTATATGGAATTACTTACTACCACAGTGCCCAAGTTTTACACATATATTAGATTAGCATCGGTTGGTGCGTCACGACTCCCTGGTTGGGGTCCGTGAGATAGCTCGGATCGATGGCTTGAAACGTTATCGGATATAGCCAAGAATCGCAGTCATCAATGGCAAATGTGTTGAAAATTCCTTCTTTCTTCCCTTTCCTACTATAATTGACAAATGTTGTTTGAACTTGTTGAGTATGACTGTTCTTCTTCCGGATGAAGTACTTTATCCGTCCTCTACTTATATTTTATTTATAATTTATATTGTTTCATTATTTATTGTGTGGCCCATGTTCTTGGTACCATATTGTACCAAGTTTTTTCTGCGTTTAAATAAATAAATAACCTGCACTTTTGGAACCAGATATATAAGCAGCCAAGTTAAACTTTAAGCACCACTGACTACCAATAGAGTGGGACCGCACCAGTGACCGTGAAACGCTCACTGTGCAAGTTAGTGAAACCTGACATATAATGTTGTCATCATCAGTCAAATATGCTCATCGATGTGTTATGCTATAAAGTGGAATATCTGGCAAAGTTTCAGATTAGGTTTGGGAAAGATTAAGAAGTTACGCTTTAAGCCAAGGACAAGTTAGGGTTAGGTTAACCTAATCCCAAAGGCGATATTAGGGTGTTGGTTCGAGTTAGATTACAGTTAGTTTAGGCATATTTTCACGTTAGGGTTAGGTTCAGGAAAGATTAGGCTTATTGTTGGGGTTAGAAGACTTAAATAATTACACATTGCATAGAATGTGATCAAATTACTCTGTTGATTTTGATGTGGTTGTGTTTGCCGAGGTGGATAGTGTTATGTACTCGTCGCTAAATTATTGTTATGGTCTGGTCGAGAAACTAATAGTCCTGACGCGAGAAGGCGGAAATCAGAAGACCACTAGGTTTGCGATGATACTTCTATTCCAAACACAAGGAGACGAAAATAAATGGTCTCACACCAAAGTGGTAAGTAAGTAAAGTAGTTGTAAAGTAAAGGTAGTTCACACAAATTGAAATACGAATATATATATAAATAATTCAGACAAGCGTGGGAAAATCATTAGACAGTCTTAACATGAATGGCTAATTATAATGGAGTGTCGATCCAATTATACATAGCGAATATAGCAGACATGCCAACAAACATATATGGATATATGTCACCAAGCAACGGACTGTCAACAAACACTCATATTATATATAATATAATATAAGGAGAATACACATTATTAAAGGAGACAAGTCCATACAAGTGAAGTGGTCACAGACTAACCGAGCAACAGAAAGAGAGACCAACATGCACACACACACATAAATATATATATGTGGATACATATCAGATAGTTAATTCACGAAGCCTTCATTGCCCTACTTGCTAGGCAACATCTTCAGCGCATACTACAATCTAAGGAAGAGGTCTTTATTAAAGTTTACTATACAATGGGGAAGTAAATAGTAGAATTCTAAAACAGAGTCTAAACTCGGTCATCTGCAGAACGTACTGTACAGCCTGGCTTACAATAAAGGCAAAAATATGCTCCACTGAAAAGTGCACAAATGATTATGTCATATCCCACACTGTATACCAATTTTCGTGTGTGTGTGCGTGCGTGTTGACACACATCCATAGAGAAGAGTAATTACCCTTTGAACATGAGGGTGGGACAGCATATTTTGAAGTGGTTAGAAATACAAATGAACTTTGGAAAATCGATAGATACAGGTGGCGGCAGACTACCAACTTCATCTATAGCTGAACATCTAGTCGATATGACCCACAAGATTGATGTCAAAACAGCTTTTAAGGTTATTTTTATAAATGGTGAAGGGCGCTTATTGAAGAATGCCGAGGCGTTAGCTATTCTAGTAGGAATCTGTGACCAGCCGGGTACAACAGGTTGAAAGTGAGGCAGTAACTCATCGAAGAAGACATTGCAAAATGGTCGCGTTGTGTCATGAATGGGCAGAAGTTAGAATTCATGGACTTGCTAATGGAGTGGGTCACAGTGGCTTAATGGTCTACGAGCTCGCTAGCCTTGTAACCAGGAGGTTCTGGGTTCGACCCCCTAAAGAGTTCAAAACTAGTGGGACGAGACAGTTGGCTGTCCAGTACTCCTCCCAGTTGTTTTTCCAATGGTTCTATAACTGATGTCAGCTTATGATGAAATCCTCCAACGAATCAAACAAAACCCATACAAAACCAATATTTGTAAACAGAATAATTTATAAGATTAGTAGGCAATAGAATAAAATAGAAGCGTTGCGTAACATTGTGTAAAATTTGATAACATAGAATTTAACGTTGCAAAATAGAATTGATTTGGAATGATAAGTGGCAAACTCGAGTCGAACAACCGATCTACCTAGTTTCACACGATCAGGTGAATTGATAAACGCAGGTACACAGAGTTGATCAACTGTGTGGGATCTTGTCCTTCAAGTTATTGAACAGTAAGTAATTTTCGACTGGTAAAGACTATTTTTATTCTTAAAGATGCAGCAGGGAATATTCTTTTTCAGGGACTGTGAGATCCATCTATTAATGATATCGGAAGCTAAGTCACTTTCAAATTTCAAGGTCATATTGTAACAACAGAAGACAAGGGCCAGGCAACGGGATCGTTTATTAAGGAAATCAACAAATATTTATAGATTTTCATCTACATATTATAGATTATTGTTAACAGAACAACGCAGTCCTCTGATTGATTGTTTCTCATTGATAGTTGACCTTGCATCTCTTTGTGGCTGTTTCTTGAATGTCAGATCATCTATATGTTAACTGTATCCGTCTACGCAAAGCCCTTGTTCTCATTTTTCTCATGACCGATATTAGGGACATAAACATTGACGTAAATAACTGTGTATCTACCAATTTTGACTAACAGCCAGCTCTCACCACAATATACAATATTTTCTTGAGTTACTAATTGTTTTAAATACGTGTGCATTGAACTTCATAATTGAGTAGTTTTTTGTTTAAAATCACCTAAAACTTTTATTTTTAACTTTCAGCGACAGCGTATATCCGCCAGTGATGCATTAAATCATCCTTTTCTTGAAGAAGCCCGTTTACGTTATCATTCATGTATGTGTTCTTGTTGTCATGATGTCTCCTCAAATTCTGGTAATGAAGGTGTTCAAACCACTACTGGATTTTGTTGTGCTCCATCACCATCTGCTTCGTCGTCATGTGCTTCATCGTCGACACCATCCTCTGATTCAATGCAGGGTGGTAGTAGTAGTAATAATAACGGGAAGTTTTTAAATAATAGATATGAAGCTAAAACTGCTGCCAATGCTATGCCGTCTGGTAGTAGTAATTCAGCCTATTCTTCTTCGGGTACAGCTAGAAGACGTTATTTTCATGATTTAGATCCTATTTGTCCAATTCTCCTTCCTCTTGATCTGGACTCAGGATTTCGTCGTCTCTCAGATGCTAAACGTAAGTTTTGTATGCTTATTTTCTAAATTTTATATGTATAAGTAATATATTACTATTGTTCCCTTGGGCTCCTAGTGGAACATAGAGCTTCAACTGCACGTTTCAACTTGCTTCTGTCTTCTGTTGTCTTCTACTTTTCACCCGCATCCATGTTAGTCCATACTGTTTCAACTCCTCTCTCTTCACACGATCTCCTCCATGTCACCCTTGCACAGACGACCCACTCGCCGCTTCTCTTTCGGATTCCACTCGAGGAGTGGCCTGACGCGCGATGTCACTCAGCGGCCTCCTCAGCGAGTGTCCAATCCATCTCCACTTTCTCCTACATATTTGCTGGTTGGCGATTGGTTCTTGTTTTGTTTGTTCCCAGCCAGAGTTTCTTGTTGGTTATTCTTTCCGGCCCGTCCCGGCCATCTGATCTTCAGTATAGAGCCAGCGAAGACAGTTGTTGGTTGATGAAGGTGTGCATACAAGTTTCTGGTCCGTATAGAAAGAAGAACTGACTGACTTGACGTGTTTGTATTGAAAATCCGACCGAATTTTGTTGTTGATAGTGGCTGAGTGACGAAGATTTCCAGATTGGTTTCAAGATGATGAGTGAATGTGTTTCTCGCCTTCCCGATTCTCGCTCGCTTTGATATCCTCGTCCGTTCCGACTGCCTGTAGTTGAGACAATGCTCCCTAGGTAAGTGAAATGAATCAAGTACCATTTTTCAAATCCCTCCCGTTGATGGTGATTGACGCTGGATGTTGCTGCTGCTGCTGTTTTTGTTGTTGGTTATTTTCATAACCTCTGTCTTGTCGATGTTCACCTGGAGTCCTGTCTTTACTGTCTGCTTCCTCGACCAGTTTGTCGGTCGGTTTTCGCTTGTAAGTCTTCGATTTTGTGTGACATCAAACATAAATCATCCACGCGCGAAATCCAGGTCTTCTAGGTTCTTCACATTGGTCCAGGATATCCTTGTCTTCTTGTTTCCCACTGTTTGACGCACAATCCAGTCCACCACAGTTAGGAATATCATTGGTGATAATAAGCAATGACCCTTGTCTGATTTCTGTGTTTACTCCAAACGCCTCGCTGAATTTTCCGTTGTGGATCACTTGACATGTTCCGTTGTCGTACAGCTGTTGAATAAGGTTGATGGACATTTGGGGTAGGCCGTAGTACTTGAATAGTTTCCAAATTACTTCGCAGTCAACGCTATCGAAGGCCTTCTCATAGTCTATAAAGTTGAGGTGGAGGTTTGATTTCCATTCCATGCTTTGTTCTGTGATGATGATGCGTAGAGTTGCACTTTGGTCAGAACATGATTTGCCTGTCTTTCCTGAATCCAGCTTGTTCAATTAATTATAGCTAAAGTTTAAAAATGGATCGAAGGTGGTTCACGCAGTATTGCTGAAACAGTGAAAACTGTACACAATTATTATTCGTCTGACTTTTTATATTGAGAAGTTGAGGCACTCAAGCCTAACCCAACCACTCCTCTTACAGTTTGTCAACTCGTGCATCTTACCTATTCTTCTTTACTTTTCACCCCTACTTATTCTTTCCTGGATTGCTTAAGAAAAGACTATGTCATACTTCGTAGAACTCAGAAGACTGACCGTCAGTAGGACGAGTGGTATCCCATTGAGTCATATCGTTGACATTGTCACTGATTGGCACTTGATGTCATGCAACAAATTTGCTAAAGGAGTTTTGTCAGACTCTGAGCATCCACCACAGCTTCCGAAGCTCCAACCTTCTGTCTCCTCCTCAGGTAAAATAAGAAGTCTTTTCAGAAGACTTTATGCACGTATGTCTTAGTATAAATATACCGCCATACCATATTTGGCGGGACGTAATTTATGTGATGAAAATAGTGTTGGATATGAACTAATTAACTTTCTATGCACTGCTAAATAAACCACTTTCCTCCATTTTTACAACATGAACCTTTATTGTTATTGTACTTCTTATATGTATAATCCTCTCAGTTTATTTTGTTTTTATTTGTTTATTTTTTTTAAAGTGTGAACATCGTTCAAGCTGTGTTATAATTGTGAATTTTTGTATTTCCTCTCACTATATTATATCAACAGAACATTAGATTCAATAATCTATAGCATGCTAAAATTTCCAAACTGAATGGACAATACTGTTTGAAACAAACTCACTGTTATTATTATTATTACGAGTTGATCATACATTGATATCGGTTAGAGAACCATTGAAAACCACCAGCTGGAAGTATTACCAAACAGCTGTTTCCTCTGTCCTTGTTTGGGAATCATTGGCAGTAAGCATCCACCACCAGTGTTCGAACCAACGACCTTTCGGTTTCAAGGTAAGCTGGCTCATATGCCATTCAGCTGTCACAGGGACCCGATCCACTTGCCAAGTCATGAATTCTAACTTCTACCAGGATGAAACAGCAGTAGTGGCAGTACTCCCAGCTGGTTTTCAATGGTTCTCTAATTGATATCAAAACGTGATTATCTCGTAAAAGCAAAACTAATCATTTACAAACCAACTATAGAAAGTTCGATTATTATTATTATTATTTGAGAAATTGATCCCTACACTGTCGATCTGCAAAAAAACCCAACTGGTTAAAGTTGGATCACTTCCTTGAGGAGTTATTCACAGTCCAAAAATATCCAAACGACAGTGAAAAGACAGTTACTTGAACTCAAATCTATGGTAATATTTAACAACTGTAATAATAATAACAACAACATCAAAACTCATAATTACCTCAGTAATGCCGTTATGGTAGTTAGCTACACAGATCCAGAGCCTTCTTAGACAATTTTAGTGTTGGTTTTCAGGGATTTCATTGCTTACAGGAGCTGACATCATTTAGAGAACTATTGAAAGATCTAGGAGTACTGAATAGCCATCTGTTTCGTCCCAGTAGTTTGGGACTCTTCATCAGTGCTCGCATCCACATGGTGAGATTCGAATCCAGGACCTTCTGGTTACAAGGTGGCTAGCGAGCTTGTAGACTATTAAGCCATTGGGACCTGATCCAATAGTCAGCCAGCCCATGAATTCCAACTTCTGCTAATGCACGATGGTAATCGCGACTGGCACTACTGACCAATGTCATCCATCCATGGCGAGTATTTGTCTTCACGATTTCTCACTTGAACCCAGGTAGGGCCAGTCACCAGTGAGCATTAGACTAATGTTCTAAGAGTACCAGAAAATTCAAGATGAATATTCTCAACAAGGTGTGAAATCGACATTTCATATGGATTTTGTAAATTCCGGTTTAATAATACAACTAAGATAAAGCTATTAGCAACAGCATTAAATAGCAAAATGTCAGTAAAAAAAACGACAATATCGTTATGTTTTTCATTCATTCACTGGGAAATACAAAAGAACCTTTATTATAATGAGTATTATATATACCCAATGGAGTTATTAAGAAGACAGTTGCAGCGAAGAAAATTTTCTTTTCGACGAAATCATCAACCAGGTAGCTGTACATTCGTGTATTTATATCAAATGGATGGGAAAATGCCCGGAATACTTTCCGGTTAAGGGTCAAATTAATAATAAAAATTACAATTAGGAATGAATTAGAATGGCATAATAAACAGGGCGGTGGGACGGATAAAACTCAAACAAAGTAGCATCATGATAGCTAAGAAGATTGACATTGTGCAATCAGGGGTTAGAAATGTAGCAATAACAAAATAGACTGGATGTTTGGATAAAAAAACTAATGTGTTGAATAATTGTTTATGCAATCAGGGATTGAATATGTAGAAATAGTAAAATGACAAAATAAACACGAAGTTCTGGTATGAAAATATGGCAGTGTAAACAGGGATTAAGAAAAACTTGAAAAACAACAACATGAATAAACAGGAAGTTTAGATTAGAAAGGCGATTGGATGGTCGTTACTAAAAATAAATTTACCTGTTTATGATGACCATGGCAGGGACAGGAGTTGGGCATATTTCTTTTGTATACAAAGCGTGGGTTTGAGCTTTTGCATAGCTAGCGCGTCGGCTAGCTAGCTCGCCCAGATGTCTTGATTTCGCTCTCTTTGGCAGGTTTGATTGAATCTTGTATATTACTTTGAAGGATTTTTCGAAAGGCGCTGAGTGTCCTGAATTAACCAGATGTTCTGTGACTGAACTGTATACACGCTTTTGGTCTCCTTTTACTAACCAGGCTGGCTAGTGTTCACGAGCGCGTTTTTCAAGTCGGCTCATGGTACGGCCGATGTACTCAGCTTCGTACGAGCAAGTAAACTGGTATATGCACGTTGAAGTGGCCCAGGACGACAGCTTTTCTTTCACGTTCTGGCTAAACAGTTTCTTGCAGGAAAATATCAGTCGTAGGCTCGCGGCGAAGTGTGTCTTCCTCAGAGATTTGGAGAGGCGTTCGCGAAGGATTTCTGCTTCAATATCACCTTTGAATTCTAGATTAAGCAGAAGTACTTTCTTTGGAACTGATTGGAATTGTTCGGAAGTCTTCTTAGGTCTGAGATTCTTGTCTATGAACCTGGGCAGGAAACCGTTTTCCATCAGGGTTTTTCGAAGATTACGCAGTTTTTCTTCAACCACTTCCTCGCTGCATATCTTCCGAATCCTCGTCTTTCTTCTCAGGGACACGAAGCTTTGAAAGCTGATGAATTGTCCATTCCATATAGCCTTGTTGTATATGGACCTTTTCAGAGAGTTGTCGGCGTTTCTTGTCAGATGGACATCGAGGAAGTGGAACATTCCGTCGGATTCAATTTCAAGTGTAGAGTCGATGTTTGGGGGGGCATTATTGAAGATTTGAAGTAGATTTTTTAAATCACAATTCTCATCAGAAATAATGAAAGTATCATTGATGTATCTCTTGTAGAGATGGAGGTCGTTGATAGTTCTTGATAAGGCGTTGTTCTCTAAGCTAGCCATAAAGCAGTCGGCTAGGAGGGGTCCTTAGGGAGAACCCATTGCTACTTTATCTACTTGCCTGTGTATATTTCCTTGTTGAAACTAAAGTATACGTTGAAGGTGCATCGAAGTAACAGTTCTTTCAGGTAATAGATTGGTATCCCGACATCGATGCTATTGGAGAGAGAGAGAGAGAGAGAAGAGAGACACGACATCCAGGGAGACCATTTTCTTTTCTGCCACATTGACATTCTTAATTGAATCAACAAAGTCGAATGTGTCAGATTTTTTCAAACTGTTTAAAGTGACCTTGGTTTGGACATATATATATATATATAATCAAAAGATTAGTTAAAATATCCAAATCACAATCAGTATATACAATTAGATCACTTTGAAAGGATTTTCCAAACAGCAGTAATCAGTCTTCTTCAGAAGGAATGATTTTATGGTCTATGGAACAACTAGATTGAGTATATATGTGCCACCTGCCAGCGTAGCTTATATATCGTCTTATCATTGTTATATTATTATGCTTCAATTAACTCCACAGGGTGAATGTCCATGAAAGGGAACATCATAATGTATATATAAGGACTATATATGAAGGTTTACTATTGTGACACAGACTCATAGAAAACGTCTTCCCCCACCCTCCACCTTGCCTATTGTATTTTCCAACATCTCTAAGCTTTTTTCTTGTTGTTGTCGTCGTCAATATTGGAGTGGCACAATGTGAAATAATATTTCACTGTCTTTAACTGTTTTGTTTTTCTGTGAAGCAAACCTGTAGGATACTTTTCTTTTTTTCTAAAGTCTATTAGGTGGTAGGTGATGATTGACACGTAATCACTTGTGTGTGTGTGGGGGGGAGTGTGTGTTTGATTCGTTGTTTGGGTGGGTGGGTGAGTGTGCACAGTTACATGAACAATTCAGCAGAATGTACTACGACTCTTCTACTCGAAATCTAGACTAACTATTTCTTATGAACTAAAACATACAGATTAGATAATTTAAAATTAGATAATGAAGAGAAAATGGTTAGTTTTGACATTGTCAGTTTATATACACGTATACCAATAAATATGGCTGCTATAGAGGCAGTCAGAAACGAAATCATTTCTGGCGAAGAACTCGAACTTAGGAACAAAAGTGCCACTTGAGGATGTAATGCTGGGAGTGCAGCTATGCCTGACTTCCACAGTATTTAAATTCATCTAAGGGAAAATATATAAACAAACTGAGGGAATTGCCATGGGATCACCAATATCCCGGGTTGTAGCAGATATATTAATGGATAGGTGGGAAAACATGGCGATTGAAACGTTCCCCTCCCCAACCCCAGAAATATGGCGGAGGTATGTAGATGACACATTCACTGTACTTATTAGAACACAAGATATAGATTGATTTTTTGAACACGTCAACTCGAAGGTAGGGGAAATTCAATTCACTTATGAATTGGAAAGTTAGGAAGGTGAGCTTCCAATGTTAGATTGTAGTGCAAAAAAAGGAGAGAAGATGGGAAGTTAAGCACAATAGTGTTTACATGAAACCCACACATTCAAACAGATATTTGGATTTCCGATCATCGCATTCTATGTCAATGAAAATAAGATTGGGGAAATGTTTAAGTGACCGAGCACAAAAACTAGGTAGTACTAAGGAAAACCTAAGACAGGAAGTGATACACGTAAAAGAAACCTTGAAACTTAATAATTACCCAGATAAATTGATCAGGAAATATGTAAGGAAATCTAAAAATAAAATAAATAATCATAGTAGCGATAGTGATAATACTAATATTAATGACGACACCAACAATAAGGAATCTAAATCATCAGTAGTAATTCCATACAAGGAAAGAACCTCGGAAACTTTACACAGAATTCTTAACAAGGCAGGAATAAAAGTGACTGGCATTCAAATCAACCACAAACTCAATTATAAACAAGCTTTGTCGGTTAAAGGATCCTGCCACTGGAGCCTTTAAAACGAAACAATTTAGTTTATCTAATACCCTGCCTTCAATGATTGTTAGGTCAAATACATAGGTCAAAGTAGTAGAACAGGAGCAACCAGTCAGACTAGCGGAGCACAAAAACTTTGCAAAATCTAGATTGTTTGATCCAAATAAGATAAGAAATTTAGAGAATAGTTTAGATGTATCACTCACCACATGCAGTTACACACAACAATACGATAGGATGATGGGATAAGATGAGAGTTTTAAAATCTAATGCCATAGGGTGGAGAGAGAGAGAGATTGATGAAGAAGCTTTGTGTTGTCGAATCAACTGCAAATACGTGTAATAGGAATGGTTCAACACCTGTCCCAAATATATGAAAAATCCTACCACTCCGACGATGACAAATAGGAGAGAACAAAGAAAACTATAAAACTCAAGTTTTGAAGTCATGTGATTATAATTGATGATATGATTATGAACAGCAATAAATTGTGTTCGAAACGTCATCCAGTAAATAATACTGTTTCACTGTGTGGTATATCTCATGAATAAACTTATATGGAATTACTTACTACCGCAGTGCCCAAGTTTTACACATATATTAATACTGTACTAGTTAGTTGATTAGTTAGTTAGTAGTCGACTGACAATTCACTGTCAAGATGAATATTTTCCGTAAAACTATATATACTACTGATTGATTGAAATGAGTAGTTTTGCATCACTAACATCAACTGGTGGTAGAGTAGTGCTTGCTGGTCAGTTAAATCGAAGTGATATGAACAGCCTATGGCCTCTTTTTTTGCAGCCGACCTCATCTTGGGGGTTGTACTTGGCTGGTGGGGTCATTTCGAAGAGCTGAATAACTTCAAACTGTGTGAATTAGTCACATTTTAGATCAAATTTACGATTCACAGTTTAAACAGCTCGAGAAGGTTAACTTTAAGTATAGTTTCTTTATTATTATTATTTATTTTAGTTCCTAGAGGAACATAGGGCTTCAGCCGCGCGTCAACATTGCGTCCGGTTCTCTGCTAGAGTTTCTACCTGGTTCCAAGTCTGCCCACATGCTTTCATCTCATCTTCCTTTACGTGACCCACTCCAAGTCACCCTTGCACTGACGACCAACTCGCCGCTCCCCTTTCAGTCGGATTCCACTCGAGCGATGGCTTGTCTAGTGATGTCACTTGATGGTTTCCTCAGAGTATGGCTAGCCAATTCACTTCCATTCCTTCCTGCCTATTTGTTGCACAATCGGTTCCTGGTGGGTTGGTTCGCTCATTACCAGAGATCTCTGTTTCTGATCTTTTCTGGCCGGCCATTTGATCTCGAGCAGAGTATTGAGCGAAAACAGCTGTTGATGAAGGTCTATAGTTTGTTCGAAGTGCTCTTTATGACGCGCTAAATCTCTGATCCGTACAGTGAGTAGCACTGACTGACTTCACATTGGAGTTGAAAATCCGGATCTTATTTTCATTTTCAGGCTGAGTGCTGTTTACTCATAGTTTCTTTAGGAAGCTGAAATTATCCAGATTATTTCAATAGGTTGTCAGCTCAAGTAGCTGGCCAGAAATTGACTGGTTTATAATGACTTAGCTGTGTGTGCTGTGTCAAAAGTAGATCCCATATTGTGTGTGGTGATGTGTATAATTTCAGTTTCCAATGGAAATCTGTGGGGGTAATTCCACCCTGTCGAACTGTGTAAATTGCCAACCGAGAATATGACTTGATGAGTAGTGTTCATCTTGCTCATTCTAGGTATGTATTACCTTGCCTCTAGCTGACCCATCTCTACATATCTGACACATACCTGTGCGGTTCGGTGGTACAGCGGTTAGGACTCTCGCCGACCATGCACATGATCCGGAGTTCGATCCTTCTGCCGACGTACCTCCGATATCAATGGTTGGCCTGCAATGGCCTGAATATGGTGTGGAGTCAAGCTATAATAAAAAAAACAAGGATTGTTCAATTATTTAATTGAATTTTAGATTTCCCCGTCGATTGAAGTACTCGGCCTCAGGTTGACATGTCGGCTTCTTGTGCAGATGCTTGGACGATGTCTGAGCATGTAATCAGAATTTAATTGGTGAATGGTGATTAGCTGTGGAACCCAAGATGTGCATTTTGTCCCGTTTCGGACTCGTCAACTAGCTGGATGTACCTACATTCCCCAGTGAGTGTTGATTTTCCCACCGAGGCTCGAGACGTCGTCGAAGCATCTGCACAAGAACCCGACATGTCAACCTGAGGCAGAGCACTTCGGTCCAATCAATCGACGGGAAAATCTAAAATTCAATGAAATAATTAATGTGATCTGTTGCACAAGTAGTGGCTTTCGTGGCCCAAGTGGTCTAGTGGATAACGCTTTGGCGTTTGAAGCTATAGGCACTGGGTTCGAGCCTCGGTGGGAACATCAGCACTCCCAAACAGGACGAAATGCGCATCCTGGATTCCACTGCTAGTTACCATACACCACTTAAAGGATTGTTCAACATTGTAACTTATTTTAAGTCTGAACTTAGTCATTCTAGCCGCCAGTTGTCAAGCTCAAACTGACAACGGGGTAAAATATCATTGGTCATCATCATCTTGTATGTTGAAAAGGTGGAGTTGTGGTTTATCTGTTTATAAGCATTCTACTTTCAACCAGCAAGTCCCAGGTTCGAGTCCCACTCCACTTATTCTAATCTAGACTAATGAGGAGTAGAATTATCAGCCTCCTTCAGACAATAATTGTCTGTAACTCATGGTCTCGTACGTGAGAGAGAGAGAGAGAGAGTAACTTTACTCAATAACTTTATATTCAGTAGTTTCACTAAGCTCTTGATTCTCTACAGTTATCCCTAGAGGAGGGGGAGTAGATGGTCTTTGAGAGGTGAATAAAGATAGGCCTTTCTTTCAACAAATAACTCTTATAATTCTTTCTATTGATTATTGTTTGTTTTTTTGATTTGTCCTTATCCACTCACTCACTCACTCACTCACTCACTCACTCACTCACTCACTCACTCACTCACTCACTCACTCACTCACTCACTCACTCACTCACTCACTCACTCACTCACTCACTCACTCACTCACTCTTTGTTTTTCAAATATCAGGTGTTCTCTGGGATAGTATTCAAGAATATTATCGTCGAGATGATCGTTTAACAAGAGTTGTGCTCAATCGAAACGCTGCAAATTATAATAATTTCATTAAGTAAGTCTAATTTCTTCCACGTATTTGTCTGTCTGTGCATGCCGATTTAGTTTTTCTCTGGGGTTTTTTCACATTAATTAAAACTAATAAGTATGCTAATTTTATGCTGTTGTTCACAGATTAAAATTGAAGTGTTGATTTGAGACTAGAAAAAGAGCCAAATTTGTCTGTTATTATACATTATATAATGTCGCTCCTTTTTTGAAATGTGAATTTCGTGTTCTGAATAGTTTAAGTGCTAGAGCCTTGCGTTGTGTGTGTGTGTGTGTGTCGTACTTCTAGCTGACTTCAATGTGCAGCGAAATCTTTGAATTAATTCTTCAGGAATAATTTTTGATTGGTTACACGATTGGTTCACGACGAGCTGACATCACTTAGAGAACCAATCGTAAGGAATGGATTGGGAGTCTTCAGAAGTAGGCAGGTAGCCACCCAAGGTTTGAACCCTCAGGACCTTCCGATTACAACCACCAGCCAATATCATTGAGGAGTAAGTGTTCTATTGCCTGACTTGGTGGTGAGCAACCGTACTGATGATGAACTGATCACTAGAATTCCAGGTGAACCCCGCCACCTCACCCCTGCCTTGTATACAGTCAGAAGTTAGTCTTATAGCTGAACACAAGGATAAGAAAACCATTGAAGAAGAAGAATTCCAGTCACATGCATGTTTACAAGGGAGAGGCATTCCTATCACAATCATATAGAACCGGAAAACACTCACTTTATACTGAAATAGGCGCTGAATATGTTATCTACACTAGTAGAAGGACAATGAAAGCTTGACTATTAAGCTGAAACGGAAGACAAATGACACAACTCCCCGTCACAACGAATGCATCCATCCATTTATCGATCCACCCGAACTACACATTTTTTAAGTGTTGACTTCAAACACACCTACTTGCAGCATAGGAAGGCTTAAATAAATGCTACTCTGATTAGACATTAGTAACAAGTGCAATGTGCCTAGTCCTTTCTTCGGTTCAGACTGAGTTCTTTCTGTCAATCAGTCAGGATTTCCAATATGGCCATTCATGCTCGCCATCACGGTGCACATTGATTTGATGATATTAGATAGTTGGAGGTAATCGGCAGGACCTAGCACGAAACGTAGGTCTAGACAAAGCTTCCTGTGACCGACTGCCTCCAACCATCTAATATCATTGAATGCTACTTTCTTAGATGCTTTTCTTTTTTCTCTGAATTGTCTTTTATTTTTCTTCCGATGACTATTACTCAATAGTGCCCGTCCTCCTTTATGGCTGTGATTGAAACCTGGCCATTGAGAGTGGAAAACATGAAAAGACCGGCTAGCTGTCTTTGATCATAGGTATCTGCGTTCTATCTCCCGTGTCTGTTAAGTGGTATAATAAGGTGAGCAATATTGAGGTTAGGCGTCGGTCGAGTGCTAGGTAGGTGGGAGGGGAAACCAATCGACAAGGCTGTGAAATTACATTGACTGAGTGAGGTGGCTAGGACATGTGTTACATATGCCTAGTCATCCCC